CAACTTTTATTAACTGGTAACACTTTACAATAAGTTTATATTAGTTTATGTTAGTTAATGCATTAATAAACATGAAAAAACAATGATCAATATATTTATTACTGTATTTGTTCAAGTTAGTTAATGAAAACAAGCATGAATTTCAATGTTAATATGCATTAGTAAATGTTAAACTGTGATTAATAAATGCTGCATGAGTATTTATAATTATTAGTTGATGTTAGTAAATACATGAACTACCATTAAGTAATGAAACCTTATTGTAAAGTGTGACCCATTAACTAACATCACCAAAGATGAATTAATACTGTATTAAATGTATTGTTCATGTTAGCAAATTCACTGTATGTGCTATATTATTACAGCATTTCTATTTTTAAAGGTGCTGTATGTAAGTTTTTGACTCTTCTAAAGCATTAATCACCATAAAATGTTTGCAGATATTTAGGAAACATGCTCGGTGAACATTCTTGTTTATCTGAAAAACAATGCTAGTCAAATATTTTGCTTTGAAAATGTGTTTTCCGCGCCCAAACGGGTGTCTTTGTTTTGGTCATTTTAACCTGCCCACTGTCAGTTTAGCCAATTACATTTCAGCAGCCCGGGTTGCCTTGGTGGAAAATCGCAAATTCCATTTATTCATTCAGAAAGGCTCTGAAAGTATGCGTCTGTGATTGAAATGCGACCTCTGGTGGACAGTAGCGGACTCCCAAACGAGACGCACATTCAGTTCCATATGAGGTGGTTATTAATTAGCAAATGATATTAATATTACGAGCATAAACATTAAGTGAGCAGGTTACACTGTAACCCTGTGTCCTAACAACATGCATGACAGAAACACGACAGAAATTTAAAAACAGCCATTTAGAGGCACAGAATATGCAATCACTCACGAAATTGTTAAAGTTTATAATCTCTTTAATACATATTAACCCTCTTTAACGGTATTAAATGTAGATGCTGAATCACACATATGTGTTTAGTTCTAAAGTTTCCAGATCTGAGGTGAACTATCTGCTGCTGCTTTCAGTAGTATGGTTAAAAAAAACTGCTTTTATTCTAGCCAAAATAAAAAACAATTAAGACTTTCTCCAAAAGTAAAAATATTATCGGAAATACTTTGAAAAATTCCTTGCTCCGTTAAACATCTTTTGGGAAATATTTAAAAAAGAAATTTACCAGAGGGTGAATAATTTTGACATCGAGTGTGCATGTTATATTTATATAAAACAATTTTTGGTAATGATATTGCCGTAACAGTGATACTACCGAAAATTAATTATGACTATGAGTCTAATAATCTGTCCGTCTCTTGGACTCCAGCTCTTTGATCGTGAGCTGTGTGTGCGGCAGCTCCGTTATTCTGGCATGATGGAGACCATCCGGATTCGCCGGGCCGGATACCCCATTCGATACACGTTTGTGGAGTTTGTGGACCGGTACCGTGTTTTAATGCCTGGAGTGAAACCTGCTTACAAACAGGTGAGTTCATAAATTACTTTATACTTCACTCAGGGAATATACTGTCAAAAGCACAGTTGTTGCGAAGGGATGCTATGCAAACAGGGGTAGTTTCAAATGCAGCTTTATTATAAGAATGGTCAATCAGGCAAGGGTCAAATATCAGTATAAACAGTGTAGTAGGCAATCCAGAAGCAAATCCAATAAAACAGGCAAAAGGTTCGGGGCAGGCAGAAAAGGGTCAAAACACGATAAACAGTCCAAAAGTCAAAAACACAGGCAACAGGAAACAAGGAAAACGCTTACGTGAGGACAGCAACAGCTTAACAATACTCAGCAACATGTGTGTGGAACAATAAATAGTCCGAATAATCATGGTGTGAGTGGCTTCAGCTGTGAGAGTTTAATCAGTCTGGATCTTGAACCGGTTGTGTGTGTGTGTGGCCTGACTGGGTGTTGTAGTCCATAACATGGCAGATATGTAGTTCAAGGAGTGTGAATGTTTACCAGCGACCTCTGGTGGTTAGCGATCGCTGGTAATCATGACAACAGTACTGTTCAGCTTGCAGATTGAAAAAATTAAATAAATCAGTAATCGAAAAATAAAATCAGAAACTAGTTACCTTAATTGATATATTATTATTTAATTTATTGTCAAATAGTTCATTGTTTAGGTGACACGGTGGCGCAGTGGTTAACACTGTTGCCTCACAGCAAGAAGGTTACTATTTCAAGTCCTAGTTGTGCCAGCTGGCATTTCTCTGTGGAGTTTGCATGTTCTCCCCATGTTGGCGTAGATTTCCCACACAGTTCAAACACATGCGGTACAGGTGAATTTGGTAAACTAAATTGGCCGCAGTGTATGTGTGTAAATAAGTGTGTATGGGTGTTTCCCAGTACTGGGCTGAGGGGGCATCCACTGTGTAAAAAACATGCTGGAATAGTTGGCAGCTCATTCCGCTGTGGCAACCTCTGAAATAGAAGCTAAATAGAAACTAAGCCAAAGGAAAAGGAATGTATTGCTTTATATTATATTTTAGGAACATAACATTTAGCTGGGCGAGGCAGTGGCGCAGTGGGTAGCACGTTTGCCTCACAGCAAGAAGGTCGCTGGGTTGCTGGTTCAAATCTCGGCTCAGTTGGCGTTTCTGTGTGGAGTTTGCATGTTCTCCCTGCCTTCGCGTGGGTTTCCTCCGGGTGCTCCGGTTTTGAATTGGGTAGGCTAAATTGTCTGTAATGTATGAGAGTGTGTGTGGATGTTTCCCAGAGATAGGTTGCGGCTAGAAGGGCATCAGCTGCGTAAAAAACTAGCTGGATAAGTTGGCGGTTCATTCCGCTGTGGCAACCCCGGATTAATAAAGGGACTAAGCCGACAAGAAAATGAATGAATGGATGAACATCTAGCTGAATTTTGTTAAATATACTTTAAAATATACTTTTACTGTATTTTACCAAACTCTTTTTCTTTAAAAGCTAAACATTTAATATGAAATAGTTGATAATAGTACAGATTTCTATTGATTAATTTTATCTATAAATTAGAGGTGTTAATATGTTAATGTTAATATGTGATATACCGTTGAAGACAAAATTATTAATGAAATGAAATAAGTGATGTTTAACAGAGCAAGGACATTTTTTTCACAGTATTATATTTTTCTTCAGGAGGAAGTCTTATTTGTTTTTGTTTGGCTGTAATAAAAATGTAAAAGTTCAGTATTTTTAGCCCCCTTAAGAAATGATTATTTTTTTGGACTGTCTACTGAACAAACCACTGTTGTCTAATGATTTGCGTAATTACCTTAACTTGCCTAATTAACTTAATTAATCTAGCTACGTCTTTAAATGTCACTTTAAGCTGAATACTAGATTATGAAAAATATCTAGTCAATTATTATGTTCTGTCATCATTGCATAGACAAGAGAAATGAGTTATTAGTAATGAGTCATTCAATTATTATGTTTAAAAATCAAATCTCTGTTTAACAGCACTTGGGAAAATATTTGAAAATAATTGAAATTTTACAGGAGCTAATCATTTTGTCTTTAACTGTACACATTCATTTTATGTTCTAACTTGATATCCAGAAATATATTATTATGCTTTTTCGGTCATTTGTTTTCCCTTAGGAGGACCTGAGAGGAACCTGTCAGCGTATTGCTGAAGCTGTATTGGGCCGTGATGATGACTGGCAGATGGGGAAAACTAAAATATTCCTCAAGGTACTAAAAACAGCACCAATATTCTCTTTAAGAACAATTATAATTTCAAGGAATAAGTTTAACAAAAAAAAAAAAAAAACTATTTCCTCATTATTTACTCACATTCAGGTGGTTATAAACTTTTGTTGAACACAAATCAAGATATTCTGAAGAATGCTACAAAAAAGTAGCCCCCGACATCCATATTAGGAATAAAAGATATTATTGAAGTCAATGGTTACAAGTTTCCTTCACTCTTGGAATATAATCTCGGTATATTTTCTTTTGTGTTAAAGAAACCCTTAAGAAAAAAAAACTGCTTAAACCAGCCTAGGCTGGTTGGTTGGTTTTAGCTGGTCGACCAGGCTGGTTTTAGAGGGGTTTGGGCCATTTCCAGGCTGGTTTCCAGTCGTTTCCATCCTGGTCTTAGCTGGTCAGGCTGGGAGATGACTCACTAAGACCAGCTTAACCAGCCTAGCCAGGCTGGGAGCCCAACCAAAACCAGATATAACAGATTGAATATGCTAACAATATTAAAACATGCTAGCTAATGTCCGATTCATGTTGACTTATCAACATGCTAATTCATGCTTAACCATGTTAGAAATATGCTAGGGACAAGCTAATTCAACTGAGAATGTGTTAACTTTGTTAGCGCAATAATACAATTATTATGTTTCTAACCAACACAAGAAACATTAGCGACAAGCTAATTCAGCTGTAGAAACATGCAAGTAACATGCAAATTAATGCTACCAATGTTTGGTCACTATATTAGAAACAGGTTTCCTGACACTGTAATTCATGCTTATAACAGATTGAATATGCTAACAACATTAAAACATGCTAGCAAATGTCAGAAACATGTTTTCTGACACTGTAATTCATGTTAACAACAGATTGAATATGCTAACTTCATTAAAACATGCTAGCAAATGGCAGATTCATGTTGACTTATTAACATGCTAATTCATGCTTAACCCAAAATAGGTTGAGTAGATACATTTTCGAGTGATCTGTCCCTTTAATAAGTCCATCATGATGTGCTTTTCACAACTGGCAACGAAAAGAAAATATTTAAATAATAAAAAAATAACAAATACAATGTGGCGCTTCAGTCATGGAAACACAAACGCATCATGTTATCGCTGTTAAAAAGTGTGTCAAGGGGATTTCACGCTTAAACAATATTGACCTCAATACGGCGATGTGTTTTTGTGCTGCCGGAAACACTGCCCTCAGCCAGAGGTCAGAGGTCAGGAACTGGTGTGACCATTACTGAATCTGCCAGGCTGAGTTTTCCAGGCACGAGTGTTTATCACACCTCCCAGTTCTCTGAAACAGGAAATCCCACTCAGCAGGAAGGACGTGAGGGCAGCATCAGTGCAGGCTGACAGGAAGTAACGAAGGCACAGATGCAGATCAATATCCTGCGCAATATGCACTCAGTGGCCACTTTATTAGGTACACCTTACAAGTATCAGGTTGGACCCCCTTTTGCCTTCAGAGCTGCCTTAATCCTTCGTGGCATAGATTCAACAAGGTAGTGGAATTATTCCTTAGAGATTTTGCTCCATATTAACATGATGGCATCACGTAGTTGCTGCAGATTTGTCGGCTGCACATCCATGATGCGAAACTCCCGTTCCACCACATCCCAAAGATGCTCTATTGGATTGAGATCTGGTGACTGCGGGGGCCATTTAAGTACAGTGAACTCATTGTCTTGTTCAAGAAACCAGTCTGAGATGATTGTTGCTTTGACATGGCACATTATCCTGCTGGAAGTAGCCATCAGAAGATAGGTACTCTGTAGTCATAAAGGGATGGACATGGGCAACAATACTCAGGTAGGCTATGGCGTTGACATGATGCTCAGTTGGTACTAATGGGCCCAAAGTGTGCCAAGAAAATCTCCCCCACACTATTACACCACCACCACCAGCCTGAACCGCTGATACAAGACAGGATTGATCCATTCTTTCATGCTGTTGATGGCAAATTCTGACCCTACCATGCGAATGTTGCAGCAGAAATTGAGACTCGTCAGACCAGGCAACGTTTCTCTAATCTTCTATTGTCCAGTTTTGGTGAGCCTGTGTGGATTGTAGCCTCAGTTTCCTGTTCTTAGCTGACAGGTGTTGCTCCCGGTGTGGTCTTCTGCTGCTGTAGCTCATCTGTCTCAAGGTTGGACGTGTTGTGTGTTTAGAGATGCTCTTTTGCAGACCTCAGTTGTATCGAGTGGTTATTTGAGTTACTTTTGCCCTTCATCAGCTGGAACCAGTCTGGCCATTCTCCTCTGACCTCTGGCATCAACAAGGCATTTGCGCCCACAGAAATGCCGCTCACTGGATATTTTCCCTTTTTCAGACCATTCTCTGTAAACCCTAGAGATGGTTGTGCGTGAGAATCCCAGTAGATCAGCAAATTCTGAAATACTCAGACCAGCCACAGGATCTGCAATGTGAACTGGGATTATTAGTAACCAGAAACCACAGTTAAGAACACATGATTTGTGGAGTTTAATCCTAATCTAATAGTGTGAAGGTTTTTATATGGATGGGTTTTTAAGGCCTGTGAATAACTGGAAACTTTAAACAGAGTACAGACTAAGCTAATTTATGCTCTGCCCTGTTAGAGAAATATGCTAGGGACCAGCTAATTCAACTAACAATGCATATGAGCCAGTTAAGTCTTTATGATGTGTTTAATAAGCTCTGTTTGTTTGGCAGGACCATCATGACATGCTGCTGGAGATTGAAAGGGATAAGGCCATTACTGATAAGGTCATTCTCATTCAGAAAGTTGTACGAGGATTCAAGGACAGGTGAGAACGACTGATGGTACTGTTTATATGTCCTCTGTGATGTTTGATTGGCGAATGAAAATGAAATAATGGCACAAGCATGCCAGAGAAAAGTTGCATTGAATCATAATTTGATATAATACAACTATTTCACCTGAAATTCATTCAACTTTACTAGTTTAAACTGAATAACAGGTGCCATGATTGTGCTGAAATGTGAATTTTTATTTTTTTTTTAATAAATACTATCTTACCCTGCAGGCCTTTTTGAATAACATCAAGCTGTAATCTTTAAAACTATGCTTCATTTGCACAGAAAAGAGGAACGTTTGCAGTGAAAATGAAATGATAATAACTGGAATTTAAGTGTTTTCCCTGCTAAAAAATCCAGCTTAAACCAGCCTAGGCTGGTTGGCTGGTTTTAGCTGGTCGACCAGGCTGGTTTTAGAGGGGTTTTGGCCACTTTCGGGCTGGTTTCCAGCCATTTCCAGCCTGGTCTTAGCTGGTCAGGCTGGAAAATGACCAGCTTAATCCAGCTAAAACCAGCTTGACCAGCCTGGTTTAAGCTGGACATAGCTGGTTTTGGCTGGGCTCTCAGCCTGGCTAGGCTGGTCAAGCTGGTTTTAGCTGGTCATCTCCCAGCCTAACCAGCTAAGACCAGGCTGGAAATGGCTGGAAACCAGCCTGGCCAAAACCCCTCTAAAACCAGTCTGGTTGACCAGCTTAAACCAGCTAACCAGCCTAGGCTGGTTTAAGCTGGATTTTTCAGCAGGGTTAGCTGATGACCAAGCAGAATAATCTGTATTGCTAAATGAATTTACATGTTTGTCTTGAAAGCACTTGCTGGAAACATGCTATCCACATGTTAATTCATGCTAGCAGTGTGCCAACCGTGTTACATGCATGCTAGCAAAATGCTAAAACATGTTAGCCAATCATGCTAACAAGTTAATTTATGCTTAACCTGGCTAGAAACATAGTATGCAACAAGCTATTTCAACTAACAGTTACAGTTTTGAAACATGCTAAAAACATGTTACCAATATGCTAACCATGTTAGAGACCATATTAACAACACACCAATGTTAACAACCCATTAAATATGCTAATAATAACATTAAAACATGGTAGCAAAGCTGAAATGCTAGAAACATGCTAACAAGCTAATTCAACTAACTAGGTGTGATCTAAGTCCTAGGCTGCGTCCGAAACCGCATACTTCCATACTATACAGTACGCTAAAATCAGTATGCGAGTCGAGTAGTACGTCCGAATTCATCGAATTCGAAAAACAGTATGCGAGAAGTACCCGGATGACTTACTACTTCCTTCGAGATTCCGGAGTGCGCATCCCATGCACGCTGCGCTATCCCATGATGCCCGGAGAGCAAATTCATGAATGGGAGTAAAGCGACGCAAATGGCACAGGTACGTCACGTGACTATGTCAAAATGGCGGATGTAAAACATCCGAATTCCATTCATACTTTTCACATTCATACTGTATAGAACGTACTTTTCTAACGGCCGAGGAGTACGTTTAAATTCAAATGCAGTATCTACTGAGTAGTAGGCGGTTTCAGACGCAGCCCATGTTAACAACACACCAATGTTAACAACCCGTTAAATATGCTAATAATAACATTAAAACATGGTAGCAAAGCTGAAATGCTAGAAACATGCTAACAAGCTAATTCAACTAACTAGGTGTGATCTAAGTCCTAGGCTGCGTCCGAAACCGCATACTTCTATACTATACAGTACGCTAAAATCAGTATGCGAGTCGAGTAGTATGTCCGAATTCATCGAATTCGAAAAACAGTATACGAGAAGTACCCGGATGACTTACTACTTCCTGCGAGATTCCGGAGTGCGCATCCCATGCACGCTGCGCTATCCCATGATGCCCGGAGAGCAAATTCATGAATGGGAGTAAAGCGACGCAAATGACACAGGTACGTCACATGACTATGTCAAAATGGCGGATGTAGAACATCCGAATTCCATTCATACTTTTCACATTCATACTGTATAGAACGTACGTACTTTTCTAACGACCGAGGAGTACGTTTAAATTCAAATGCAGTATCTACTGAGTAGTAGGCGGTTTCGGACGCAGCCCATGTTAACAACACACCAATGTTAACAACCCGTTAAATATGCTAATAATAACATTAAAACATGGTAGCAAAGCTGAAATGCTAGAAACATGCTAACAAGCTAATTCAACTAACTAGGTGTGATCTAAGTCCTAGGCTGCGTCCGAAACCGCATACTTCCATACTATACAGTACGCTAAAATCAGTATGCGAGTCGAGTAGTATGTCCGAATTCATCGAATTCGAAAAACAGTATGCGAGAAGTACCCGGATGACTTACTACTTCCTGCGAGATTCCGGAGTGCGCATCCCATGCACGCTGCGCTATCCCATGATGCCCGGAGAGCAAATTCATGAATGGGAGTAAAGCGACGCAAATGACACAGGTACGTCACGTGACTATGTCAAAATGGCGGATGTAGAACATCAGAATTCCACTCATACTTTTCACATTCATACTGTATAGAACGTACTTTTCTAACGACCGAGGAGTACGTTTAAATTCAAATGCTGTATCTACTGAGTAGTAGGCGGTTTCGGACGCAGCCCATGTTAACAACACACCAATGTTAACAACCCGTTAAATATGCTAATAATAACATTAAAACATGGTAGCAAAACTGAAATGCTAGAAACATGCTAACAAGCTAATTCAACTAACTAGGTGTGATCTAAGTCCTAGGCTGCGTCCGAAACCGCATACTTCCATACTATACAGTACGCTAAAATCAGTATGCGAGTCGAGTAGTATGTCCGAATTCATCGAATTCGAAAAACAGTATGCGAGAAGTACCCGGATGACTTACTACTTCCTGCGAGATTCCGGAGTGCGCATCCCATGCACGCTGCGCTATCCCATGATGCCTGGAGAGCAAATTCATGAATGGGAGTAAAGCGACGCAAATGACACAGGTACGTCACGTGACTATGTCAAAATGGCGGATGTAGAACATCCGAATTCCATTCATACTTTTCACATTCATACTGTATAGAACATACTTTTCTAACGACCGAGGAGTACGTTTAAATTCAAATGCAGTATCTACTGAGTAGTAGGCGGTTTCGGACGCAGCCCATGTTAACAACACACCAATGTTAACAACCCGTTAAATATGCTAATAATAACATTAAAACATGGTAGCAAAGCTGAAATGCTAGAAACATGCTAACAAGCTAATTCAACTAACTAGATGTGATCTAAATCCTACAATGTGTTATATCAATATGGCAATCCTGTTACAAACATGCTAGCAAAAGAAATAAGTTCACGAAATGTTAAAACATGTTACACAGTCATGCTTACAAGTTAATTTATTCTTAACCTGGCTAATAAAACATATTGTGTAACTAACAATGCGCTAAACATTTTAGAAACGTGCTAGTAACATATTATTAATATGCTAAACATGTTAACAATACACTAATGTTAACAACATATTAAATATGCTAATAATACTATTAAAACATGCTAGAAAAACTCAGATTCATTTTGGAATGATAGAAACATACTAATTTATGCGGCCTACTTTTAAACATGCTAACATGCAAGTTGATGCTTATCCATGGTAGAAAAAAATGCTAATGGCAAGCTAATTCACATAATATGATGTGATCCAAATTCTATCATTTGTTTTACTAGCAATATGACAAGCCTGTTGCAGACATGCTAGCAAAAGAAATCCAAGTTCGAAGAATGTTATAACGAGATAGCCAATCATGCTAACAAATTGATTAATGCTTAGCCGTGCTAGTAACATAGTATGCAACAAGCTATTTCAAGTAACAATGTGCAAATAATTTTAGAAACATGCTAGTAATGTTATCAATATTATAATTACGTTAGAAAACATATTAATAACAGACTAATTTTTACATATTAAATATGTTAGTAATAACATAATCACATGCAAGCAAAAGTCATTCATGCTGAAATGCTAGAAACATGTTAACTCATCCTGCCTACTTTTAAACACGCTAACAAGCAAATTCATGTTTAACTACGGTTGAGAAAATGCTAACAACAAGCTAATTAAACTTACAATGTGTGATCCAAATCCTACAATGTGTTAAGATACCAATATGACAAACCTGTTACAAGCATGCAAGCAAAAGAAATCCAAGTTCACGAAATGCTAAAATGTGCTAACAAGTTAATTAATGCTTAGCCGTGCTAGAAATGTAGTATGCAACAAGCTATTTTAGCTAACAATATGCAACAAAACATGTTAGACACAAGCTAAAAATGTGATAGTGACATGCTAATTCACGCTAAAGCACAAAATCATAAAGGTTTGTCCCAATAGCAAACAGTCTAGCTCAATGTCTTTGTCGTTAGCTTTATAGTGTCCTCTGTGTAATTGAGCCATGTTTTTTGTGCTAAAATGTGATTGAAACATAATCTTTCCCACAGATCCAACTTCCTGAAGATGAAGAAATCAGCTATGCTAATCCAGAAGACATGGCGAGGTTATTACTGCCGGAAGAACTACGGAGCGGTTTGTCTCGCACTTTCTCATATAGAAATGTGTCTAATTGTTTTTTGCTTGTAGCTAATGCTCGTTTCTTCCTTGTAGATGCGTGGCGGTTTCTCACGTCTGCAGGCGCTATATAGATCTCGCAAACTCTACCAGACGTATCATGTGGCACGGCAGAGAATCATGCTCTTCCAGGGCCGATGCAGAGGTTTTCTGGTGCGCAGAGCGTTTCGCCACCGCCTGTGGGCTGTGATCACAATCCAGGCATATACGAGAGGAATGATCGCCCGCCGGCTCTACAAACGACTCAAAGGAGAGGTGAGCAGTCTGATTTATTTGTAGATTACGGTTTAAAGAGACAGTTCACCAAAAAAAAAATGTAAATCTATAATCATTTACTCACAATCTACTTGTTTAAAATCTTATGGTGCAAAATGCTAATGCATGCTATCAACATGCTAAGCATGTTACAAATTTTTTAACCATAATGTAAACATTCCAGCATCCTGCTAATTCAATTTTTCAAATATGGTCGCAACATTCAGATTCATGCTGATGACATGCTAAAGAAAATCTTGCAACGTGTCAATTCATGCTACTAATATTGTAATAAATTAGCTAATTTATGCTTAACTATGTTAAAAACATGCTAGTGACAAATTTATTCAACTTTTAATGTGCCAACCATTTTAAAAACATGCTAGTCGCAAGTTAACTTAACTTTTAATATGCAAACCATTTTAAAAACATGCTAGTCGCAAGTTAATTCAACTTTTAATGTGCAAACCATTTTTAAAAAATGCTAGTCGCAAGTAAATGTATAAATGTGCAAACCATTTTAAAAACATGCAAGTCACAAGTTAATTTAACTTTAAATGTGCCAACCATTTTAAAAACATGCTAGTCATGAATTAATTTAGCTGTTAATGTGCAAGCCATTTTAAAAACATGCTAGTGACAAGTTAATTTAACTTTTAATGTGCAAACCATTTTAAAAACATGCTAGTCATTAATTAATTTAGCTTTTAATGTGCAAACCATTTTAAAAACATGCTAGTGACAAGTTAAATTAGCTTTTAATGTGCAAACCATTTTAAAAACATGCTAGTCATGAGTTAATTTAGCTTTTAATGTGCAAACCATTTTAAAAACATGCTAGAAAGATGTTTGTTCATGCTACCAATGTGATAATCATGCAATATGTTAACCATACATGCTAGCAAAATGCTAATTATTGCTACCAACTTTAAAACAAGTAATGTTTAATTCATGTTAACAACAAATTAAATATGATATGAAATGCTAGCAAAAGTCAGATATGATGACATGCTGTAAACATTCTAGCAACATGTTAACTCATATTGCCTGCTTACATAGCAACAAGCTAATTTTTGCTTAACCGTATGCTACCAACAAGCTAATTCAATTGATTCTTATTAATGCTTCAGTAAATGTTGAACTATGAATTAACTACTACTACTACATTAACTAATGAAAACCTGTTATAAAGTGTGACCAGAAACTGCATTTCTCTCCATCCATCTCAGTACCGGCGACGTTTGGAGGCCGAAAAGTTGCGTCTGGCCGAAGAGCAGAAGCTCAGGAATCAAATGAGCGCCAGAAAAGCCAAAGAAGAAGCTGAAAAGATGCATCAGGAGAGATTGGCACAGCTGGCGCGAGAAGACGCCGAACGGGAGAAGAAGGAGCGGCAGGAGGCTCGCAGGAAAATGGAGATGTTGGACCAGATGGAGAAAGCCAGACAGGAGCCAGTCAACGATTCTGATATGGTGGACAAGATGTTCGGCTTCCTGGGAACCACAAACTCTTTCCCTGGTCAGGAAGGTCAAGCGCCTGCTGGGTTTGAGGTGAGGATGCGGATCTGACGCTTTTATAAATGAAACTAGTGTTTAGGAGTGTTTGAGTTCTTATGGCTTGTTGGAGACATTAGCTCCAGTTCACTTTTCTTCAGGATCTGGAGCGAACACACCGGGAGCTGGAGGTGGAGGATCTAGACGAGTCTCTTCCACTCCCGGAGGACGATCTGGAGGACCTGTCCGAGTACAAATTCGCCAAGTTTTCTGCCACATATTTCCAGGGCACGAGCACACACACGTACATGAGGCGGCCATTAAAACAGCCATTACTGTTTCATGAGGATGAAGGAGATCAGCTGGTACGTGATGCTTGTTTACATAATTGTGTATATATATTGTCAAAGCAAAATTATAAATATGTAGATACAGAATATTTTAATAAAATATTTGAAAATATATATTTAGTATTTCAATCAATTCATTAATAAATAAAACAAAATTATATATATATACAGTTCATGTCATAATTATTAGCCCCCCTGAATTATTAGCACCCCTGTTTATTTTTTCCCCCAATTTCTGTTTAACAGAGAGAAGATTTTTAAACACATTTCTAAACATAATAATTTTAATAACTCATTTCTAATAACTGATTTATTTTATCTTTCCCATGATGACAGCACATAATATTTGACTAGATATTTTTCAAGACACTTCTATACAGCTTAAAGTGACATTTAAAGGCTTAACTAGGTTAATTAGGTTAACTAGGCAGGTTAGGGTAATTAGACTAGTTATTGTATAACGATGGTTTGTTCTGTATCGAAAAAATATAGCTTAAAGGGGCTAATAATATTGACCTTAAAATAGTTTTTAAAAAATTAAAAACTGCTTGTATTCTAGCCGAAATAAAACAAATAAGACTTTCTCCAGAAGAAAAAATATTATCAGACATGCTGTGAAAGTTTCCCCGCTCTGTTAAACATCATTTGGGAAATATATATATATATATATATATATATATATATATATATATATATATATATATATATACAGAGTAAAAAAAAAGTAAGTTTGTTGTTTTTTGTCTTACTTTAAAGTATTAGGATTATAGATTTTAATCAATTTTAGTAAATTAAATTGAAAAATAATCTTCTGCTTGGCAACTAGCATAAATAAAACAAGTCTAATTAATAAAACTATTTTAATTATCTGTTAACTATAAGAACCCTGCACATAGTGTTTACTGTATAATACTGTATGCAGTTGGAAGATTTGTTTTTGTCAAATTGAGTACTACTTTCTGAATACTGTCCAAATAAAAGCTTATCATAGAGAGCTTTAACTGACCTGATTATTTCAGATGTTTCTTTGACCGTTTCTTCATTCATGTAGAAGTGTTTAATGTAGATCTGCTGGTTCTGCAGGCGGCTCTGGCCGTGTGGATCACCGTCCTGCGCTTCATGGGTGACCTTCCCGAACCCAAATACCACACGGCCATCAGCGACGGCAGCGAGAAGATCCCTGTCATGACCAAAATCTACGAGACACTCGGAAAGAAAACCTACAAGAGGGAACTGCAGGCACTGCAGGGAGAAGGAGAGGTGCGTTCAGATGAGAAACAGTCAATAGCTTGTGTTTCCATACAAAGATGTGAATTAAACGTATGCACAAAACTGGAATATGGCATAAAACATTTGCACATAAAGCAACTTTCCCATCCAGCGAGTGAAAGAGAACAAAATCATCACTTGCTGATAAACTGGGAAGTGTTTTTTTGTGCAGTAGACGAAGCCACTGTGGTCTTTTTTCTTCTCTAATAAACGCATTGCGCCTCAGAAGATGTACATGAAATTCAATCAAAGCTATGCGGTGGCTTTTGGAGGCATGAGACGCTCTTTGGGAGGCGTAAACAGATGCTCAAGACAGTTTTGGAGGGAATAATAATATAATACTGAACTACTGTGATGAAGGACTGATGGCTGAGGGGTTTTAGAAATGAGAAAAACAACATTTCAGGTGTTTTACCATGTGCTGGAAACACTGCAAAGTCCATTAATGCATCCCATCTTGCACCTCATCACATGGATCCTCTATTATAGACAAGCTATTAAATGACAAAATTTAAAGGGGGTCAAAATTAGCACCTCAGTAGTTCTCATTTTGATTGAAGAAAGAAAGAAATAAACATCTTGGATGAGTAAATGATCAGGGAATTATCAGGAAAATGTATATTTACTTGCGTTTGTCTGTCTGCTGCAGAACACTAACATTGAGAGTCACAAGAAGAGCAGCGTGCGGCACAAACTGGTGTCGCTCACCCTGAAGAAGAAGTCTAAAATTACAGAGGAGGTCAGTGATGCTCATTTTATCATGTGCATCTCCCTATTCTTCTCTTTCTGGAAGCTCAGCAACCCCTTCAAGACACTCATTTCACAGGTTTGAGTCACTGCCACCGTTTCTGAGCATGTCATTTATATTACATATATTATAGTATAGACATATTTTTACATATCTCTTAATTCAGCTATTCACTGTATTAAAAAAGACTATTTTAAGCATGTTGTTTATATTATATACAGTTGAAGTAAGAATTATTAAATTTAATATTTCCCCCAATTTCTGTTTAACAGAAAGAAGAATTTTTCAACAAATTTCTGCACATTATAGTTTTAATAACTCATCTCTAATAACTGATTTATTTTATCTTTGCCATGATGACAGTAAATAATATTTGACTAGATATTTTTCAAGACACTTCTATACAGCTTAAAGTGACATTTAAAGGCTTAACTAGGTTAATTAGGTTAACTAGGCAGGTTAGGGTAATTAGGCAAGTTATTCTATAATGATGGTTTGTTCTGTAGACTATCGGAAAAAATAAAGCTTAAAGGGGCTAATAATTTTGACCCTAAAATGGCTTTTAAAAAATTAAAAACTGCTTTTATTCTAGCCAAAATAAAACAAATAGGACTTTCTCCAGAAGAAAAAATATTATCAGACATACTGTGAAAATTGCCTTGCTCTGTTATATATCATTTGGGAAATATTAAAACAGAAAGAAAAAACCAAAGTGGGGCGAATAATTCTGTCTTCAACTGTATATTAAAGGATATATATATATATATATATATATATATATATATATATATATATATATATATATATTTATTTATTTATTTATAGATATGTTTTTACATAATTTTTAATCAGGTATTCACTGATTAAAAAGGTCAAACTTTTAGCATACCATTTATATTACATATATTATCGTATATGTATTTAAAGATTTAAAAGAAAATGTATTAAATTATAAAACTTACTAGTTTTATACATTTATTTTTACAGATGTTAAACAACAAATTGAGTGCTGTGTTATAAACAAATTATTTAAATATTGGTGTTATTAAATTAAGTTGTTTTCAATTTAATTTAATTTAGCATGGTTAATACAGTTAAGTTTGTATAATAAATATATTATTTGAAAGATTTCATCTGTATAATATTTTACATCAACTATTGTTTAATATTTTATTTGATTTATTTAGATTTACATAATTTCCGCTTTCATTACATTAGTGAAAAATTAACTGTGCAAAAGCACATCAACTAATGGTGGCTGTAAACAGATAAAAGATCTGTAAAATTGGACACATGCATAAATATGTGTAAGTATCTGTCTTGATATATTGTTAATGTACTTATTATCCCTCTTTGTTCTTTTTACTTGACCATCTCATTATGTTTTTGTGTTGTCATTGTATTTTCTTTGCTGTATGCTTGCTGCTATTGTGAAGGAATAGTTAGTTTAATCTTTAGGAATATTCATTAAATATATATATATATATATATATATATAATTCCCCCAATAACCCCCCATCCCCCTTGAGTAAAAAAACAGAAAACTGATTTAGTAACTTTGACCACAAACATGAACGCTGTACTTTTAACTGCTATTTGTTTTTGTTTTAAAGTAAATTATTTAATATTTCTAATAATTGATCTGATGCTTTTTGTTCAATCCAATTTTAATTTTATTTTATTTAAGTCATTGATTTTTTTTATGGAATTTTACACATATTATTTATCATATATACAGTGCTCAGCAAATATAAGTACACCCCTAACAAATTTGTCTTTTAAATGTATATTTTTCTATAGAATATTAATAGGATATCAATATTATATTTGTGCATATACAGTACGCTAGATTAGTCAGTACTGAAGCCAAAACTGGAGCTAATCTAACAAAATACATATAAGCGTCCAAAAATTGGTAGCCCAATTTTATATGTTAGAGAATAATATAAAACAAAAATAGAAAGTGCAAGAGAAACAAAAACAACAAGTTTAGTTGAAATTTAGTAGTTTTGCAATATTTTGCATGCATTTAAATTAATTATCTTTCTATTTCTAATGATGTGTGGTGACTAAAATATTATTTCATTAAATATATCTATTTAATATATCTGTTTTGTTTAAATGCACTAAAATATATGACCTATAATCACTGAGAAATTAATTTAAAAAAACATGTTAAAATCAATTATGTTGAGCACTGTATATATTTATCATTGTTAAATATTGTTCATATTTTATTTTATTCATGTGTCCTTATAAACTCCCCTTCCTCTTCAATAAAATCTCTTCTCTACTCTGATTGGCCACGAGGGCAGGTTCCACCTGTCAATTACATGCAAGCCATAAACATCTATTACAGTGGTGTCAAAAACTCAGTTCTTGGAGGCTGCAGCCCTGCACAGTTTAGTTTCAACCCTACTCCAACACACTTACCTGTAGTTTTCAAGCAAGCCTTAAGGACTTAATTAGTTTGATCAGGTGCGTTTAAGTAGGGTTAGAACTAAACTGTGCAGAGCTGAGGCCCTCAAGGAACAGAGTTTGACCCCTGTGATCTAATCAATCCCCATTGGACAAAATCAAGCCCCGCCTACATTTGTTCTTATTTTAAACGTTATTTCACTGGATTTACAGTACAACAGATGCAGCTTCGTAGTATTCACCTCTGTTTGTTTGGCCTTTAGGTAACCAAGCGTTTAAATGACGGGGAATACACTGTTCATGGAAACAGCATGTTGGAGGATCGACCCACGTCCAATCTGGAGAAACTGCACTTTATCATCGGCAACGGCATCCTGCGTCCAGGCCTGAGGTCAGACGGTGGATATCTGCTGTAAATATCAGGTTATGATTGTAAAACACTGATTGATACTGAGTGTTGTTCTCCCTGCAGAGATGAGATCTACTGTCAGATCTGTAAACAGCTGAACCAGAATCCGTCTAAAAGCAGTCACGCTCGCGGCTGGATCCTCATGTCTCTGTGCGTCGGCTGCTTTGCTCCCTCTGAGAAGTTTGTCAAGGTGAGATAGATAGATAGATCTCGTAGCCGATACTGCTGATGACTCCTGTTCTGTACATTAGATTTAGCAGCCTGAACTGTTTTCTTTAAAGGGCCATGACACCCCCCACTTTCGGTTAAAGTCTACTTCAGAATTTTTTCAAAAGATGCATGATTAATGGGCGTGGAGCTCCGCGAGCATCGGGCAGGAGTGGGCGTGGCCAGCAGGGGAGTACGTGAGCGGACAACTGTTGTTGTCAGTTACCTCACAAAATGAGACAAACCGTGAGGAGACGCATGAGTTTATAGTTTACAAAGTTAAAATGCAAAGAAATGAACAGTGATTTAATGCCCTGCTGCATTTGTTATTCGTAATTTCATATACACATAACCACAATTTGTATCATTATAAAGATAAATGTGTTCATGTAAACCCTATAAATGAGGACTTCTCCCTCAATCCCTGTATCCAGCAGACTCAGTGCAGCAGGTCTATTGCCCTGTCTATTTTAACCATTAGCCCTGCTGGTAATCTGGAGGATTTAGGCAAACACAGCAGCACAGTGATGTGTCTGAATGTGAACGAACTCCTGATGAAAGACAGCGTCCGCCATTCTCTAATTCTCGTGCTGCTCTCCTGACAAAAATGCTTGCAGCACACACACAGCTTTGCTGTATGATCGGCCCTGACAAGATCGCGGGGGAAAGCATGCAACAAACCCCGTGGATGATGGAAACAAACGCATATGAGCCTTCATGAACGGCTAAATACTGTGCCGTGGTTTTCGTGTCTCTCAGCTCGGGCTTGACACTGGCAGGTCTGGCAGGTCTCATGAATAATTAAGCAGCCGGCTCTTCTCATAGGATAAGAAAACTCCACTATGAATAATAATGAGAAACCGACGCGTCATCATTGCACTTGCAGTTCTGTGCTACTTCGCCGATTTTGATCCCGCCCCAAAAATCATTTTAAACCCGGAAGCTGAAATTAGCTGACAAAAGCTCCAAATTATCCAGTTTTCCCCACAATTAAAGCTGACAGTGCTAACGTTGTCTTAACTGATGCTCAACACACACAAATCTGTTAATATAAAAAAAAAAGTTCTCCGGGGTGTCCTGAACCTTTAATGATGTGAATTCCTGACCTTAATTTCTCCCGCACCTCATCTTCAATTTTATCATACATGGACTTTTTTTATTTTGTTTTTAATGACCCGCCACAACCCGCTCTGCAAATAGAGTGACAATTTTTTTTTACCTGACCCGCAGGTAACCCACACAGCACTAATTCCTTTGAAATTTTCCCTTTTTCTTATAGTTTTGTTGTAATAAAAGAAAAAAAATTTGAAAGTCAATATTATTAGCCTGCTTAAAGAAACTTTTCAGCTTCCCGAGAGTTTGTTTTACCATTTTTTAACCTGTTCAGCTTAGCATAAATCATTGAATCAGATTAGACCATTAGCCTCATACTCAAAAATGACCAAAGAGTCTGGATAATGTTTCTATTTAATGCTTGATTCTTCAGTTTTACATCAGTGGGTCCTTTGAAATATAATCTGCAGGCCCGTGCAGAGACCTTCCAAGGGGCATGTGCAGGATCCAAATTTTTGGAAGGGAAGGGTGGGGTGTTCTTGTGGGCTGGTGTGAGTCGCGCGTGAACAGAATAGCGCGGAGGGGGGGTGGGAGGTGGGGGGTTGGGATGTGTTTGGGGTGATGTTGCGCGCGAATTGAAGAGGGAGTGGGGGGAGGGGTTGGTGGTTGGGTTCGCTTGGGATCATTTTGGAAGGGCACTTCTATACAAGACTAAAAAGGGCATGTGCACTGCACAGGTTGAGCCCAATGTGTGCACGTGCCAGATAATCTGGTATTTTTTGCGTTCATCATGTCTGTTTGTCTTTCTGCAGTATCTGAGGAACTTCATCAGTGAAGGTCCACCAGGTTACGCTCCTTACTGTGAGGAGAGACTGAGGAGAACGTTTGTGAATGGAACAAGAACACAGCCGCCGTCCTGGCTCGAGCTTCAGGTGTTAGCATCTCACTATAACTGCTCTTATCACCACTATAGAGACATAAAATATATTTTAATAAATAAGATACTTTTCAAAAAAATCATTAAATAGATATTTATTGGCACAGTACTTATTTTAAATGCATTTTGTGTTCTTTGATTTCTTGTATTGGTTCTATTTTTTAATGGTTTTGTGTAGATTTGTTTTTTATTTTTGCTTATTACTTGATTTTTTAGGAACATATAATTAGCAAGATCAAAATGTTAAATTATCAATAATTATATTGTGGTTGTGGAGAAAGCCAGCCATTTACTCCATTCTTTTTTAAAGATCTATTTTTGTAATCCGAGTGCATGTTTCATTCTCTCCATTTCTTCAACTTTATCTATTACTTTTACCCTTTGAATGTCTTTAGTTGGTCGGTCTTCTTTTTTTTATACTTTATTTTTTTTCTCTTTTTTACAGAAAAAACAAGGGAAAAAATACAAATAATAGATTTAAAATAAATAAATAAATAAAATAAATAATACAATAAAACACCGGAACTTAAATGAACAGTGGACTGGTCACATATTTCCTTACAGGTCACATGAACAAATACATATAGAAATCGAATTACATTGTGTAAAGGCATAAGTACAATCCATTTCTCCCAATAGTGCAGGTATTTGTCTATTTGTAGTTTTAAAGAAAACGTCATCCTCTCCATATTTTGAACATTAGATATGATATCCAACCATTCAGATTTTTAGAGGGTTCCAGTTGTAGCTACTTTCGAGTCACAGTTTTTTTTACTGGTTGCTAGGAGTATTTTTAATAAATACTTGTCTTTTACCGTTAAGTTGGCTGCAATATTTCCCAGAAAAATTGTTGTAAAAGAAAAATCCACATCAATACCAAAAATATTTCGTATTACTTGCATTACGTCCTGCCAGTATTGGTCTTTTTTTTTTACTTGTTGCCAATAATGTCTTAAATAGATATCTATCCTCAACCTTAATAGGAATATCCTCCAAATAAAGTACGTCGAATAATCTAGCAATATGAAGACTAATAATACCATTGATAGCAGCAGTTTCCCAGAAGCTATCAATTCTTGTGCTCTGCCAAAATATGTGTGCATGATGTGCCTCTTCTACCCCACAGTTCCTCCAACAATGAAGAGGAGTCCCTGATTGTATTGTGTTAATAGAGTGGAGGAACTATGACGTCACCTTGTAGGCTAATTGGCTGCTAGCATAAAACTGGTTCCCTCGATAAAATCCCTATAGGATTTTCCCATAGGCTTTGCAAAGATTGCTAATAATAAGCTCTGTGTTCAAACACAGTTCATTACACTTTATTGTTTGGCATTTTTATTCAAGGCCACAAAATCGAAGAAGCCCATAATGCTGCCGGTGACTTTTATGGATGGCACAACGAAAACTCTGCTGACAGACTCTGCCACTACAGCTAAAGAGCTCTGCAATGCTCTGTCTGACAAGATCAGCCTTCAGGACCGCTTCGGCTTCTCCCTCTACATCGCACTCTTTGATAAGGTACAAAGTTACACACAAACACACACACACACACACACACACACACACACACACTTTTTCTGTTTCAATTACTTTATAGTTCAACCTATTAACTCTACAATAGAGGTTATATTGTCCGCTAAATTATTTAAATTTTTTGTTAAATGTTTCTAATTTTTATTAATAAGCATTAAGAACTAAGAAAATATCACAGGTGAAAAAATTGAAGAAGAAGAACAAAATCACAGGAGCGCTATTTATTTGGACTTTTGCTGTGTGTATATATATTTATGTGTCACTGTCGGGTCATAATGCAGTGTTTTTTTGTTTTTGTTTCAGGTTTCGTCTCTGGGCAGCGGTAATGATCACGTGATGGACGCCGTGTCTCAGTGTGAACAGTACGCTAAAGAGCAGGGCGCACAGGAGCGAAACGCCCCCTGGAGACTCTTCTTCAGGAAGGAGATCTTCACGCCGTGGCACGACCCAGCTGAGGACGCTGTCGCCACAAACCTCATTTACCAGCAGATCGTACGCGGCGTCAAGTTTGGTGAATACCGCTGTGATCGGGTATGAACTGATACTAATAGCCTGTGGTGCTTATAAAGGGCTCAAAATTAGCACTTTTCTCCATGCATAATTTAAACAGCCACAGCCATATCACCCTGCAGCCCAACACTGGTTACTCACTGAAGCTAATCAGGGCTGAGCCTGGTCAGTACTTGGATGGGAGACCACTAGGGAACACTAGGTTGCTGTTGGTAGTAGTGTTAGTGAGGCCAGCAGGGGGCGCTCAACCTGTGGTCTGTGTGAGTCCTAATGCCCCAGTAAAAGTGAAGGGGACACTACACTGTCAGTGGGCGCCGTCTTTCGGATGAGACGTTAAACCGAGGTCCTGACTCTCTTTGGTCAGTAAAAATCCCATGGCACTTCTCGTGAAAGAGCAGGGGTGTAACCCCGGTGTCCTGGCCAAAGTCCCTCTATCGGCCCTTACGATCATGGCCTCCCAATCATCCCCTTCCACCGAACTGGCTCTATCACTGTCTCTCCACTCCACCAATAGCTGGTGTGTGGTGAGCGCACTGGCGCCGTTGTCCTGTGGCAGCCGTCGCATCATCCAAGTGGATGCTGCACACTGGTGGTGGTGTGGAGAGACCCCCCTCATGATTGTGAAGCGCTTTGGGTGTATGGCCATGCACAATAAATGCGCTATATAAATATGCATTACATTACATTACATGTTCTCAACATGTTATTTTGCATTGACGAGATGAAGCGAAAATAAGATTATTTTGCTTTACTTTCAACATTGACACATTTTTTACTTGTTTTAAGAAAAATATGACTAATTTTTTACATTATTTCTGAAAACAACACAGTATTTTTTACTTACTGATTTAAGATTGTTTAGATATTCTGACTAAAAACAAGAAAAAAACTATAAAATAGCAGTTTTGGACACCAATCAATCTGGTTTCAAAAGTAGACACAACACTGAGACTGCACTAAGAAACGGTTGTCTGTGTTTTTGGACCGCTTAACTTTTCTATTTGACATGGCATCACACGGTGTGTCATTCAGAAACATGTAACGATGTCAGGATATCGATATGTCTGACAGATATTTTTTTTAGATGATGCACTTGTCACATTCGACTAAAGTTTTGTTCAGCAAACACAGACAATGCAGAAATCACATTAGGCAGATTCATTTGGTCACCTTCAGGGAGACCAGTACATAAGCAAAGTGCTATTTTGGGTCTTTTGAAACGCCATACCAAAAGTTTTCACTCACCCGCTGTATGTCTAATGTGGGGATATTATCTTTCTCTTGTTTGTTTTTTTACATTGATTTTTCCTTCTCTATCTATCCGTCTTGTGTGTTTTCCGGGTGAAGGAGGATCTGGCGGAGCTGGCGTCGCAGCAGTATTATGTAGATTACGGCTCTGAGATCCTCGTTGAGAGACTGTTGAGTCTGATTCCCTCCTACATCCCGGACAGAGAGATCAGCTCGGCCAAGACTGTGGAGAGATGGGCTCAGTTCATCATGGCTGCGCACAAGAAGGTGCCAAAACTTAATCTTAAACCTTGTGGAATTGAACATGTGTGTATTGTGTAGAATAATTAATAACACTGAATGCTGGATGCATTATTTAAATGCAATGCAAAATATTACAAATAGTTTTAGGCTAAGTTGGATTTCAGTATTCTTGTTCATAAAATGCCGTCAAATTAAGAATTGTTTTTTTAAAAATTAAGTTAAAACTCTGATAAAAAAAAAAAAATGCACTAAGATAAAAAAAGAAGAACCTGAGCATAATATAAATGGTCATGAAAAAGTAACATATGTAAACATATAGGTAGGTCCAGACGGAATCTGCGGACATTTTTTGCCATTTCTGCTGAGAATTTTGGAATTATAATTTTCCAATTATTTTGGAAGTATCACAACTAAAACCTTAATATGTGATTATAATAAAATCTTTTAAACGTTTATTTAATGTTTAAAATGCAAATCCAATAAGACTCACTTTATTTGGTAAACAAGTCTCTCATATAATATCTCTAGTAAAAGACAGAAAATATTACTTAACAAACTGCACTGTATGTAAATCAGATGAACATTTTCATATTAGTCAATAATATTGCTGTAATTAATTTAAAAACTGAATAAACTTAGATTTACTCAAGTCAATAAACAGAATTAATGATGGGCTAAAAATCTGCAGAAAATCTGCGGAATTCTGCACGTGCAGATTTTGTGTGGGTCTATTTACAGGTATAAAGGGTGAGGTCAGCCCAAAATCAAAGAAAAAAATGTTAAGTATGCTAAATTATCACAAAATAAAGCTCATTTAAAGTCATATTTAAGGCCAAATTGAAAAGAAAATGACGTAAAATGGGAACGCAGTGGCGCAGTAGGTAGTGCTAGCGCCTCATAGCAAGAAGGTCGATGGGTCGCTGGTTCGAACCTCGGCTCAGTTGGAGTTTCTGTATGGAGTTTGCATGTTCTCCCTGCGTTCGCGTGGGTTTCCTCCGGGTGCTCCGGTTTCCCCCACAGTCCAAAGACATGCGGTACAGGTGAATTGGGTAGGCTAAATTGTCCGTAGTGTATAAGTGTGTGTGTGAATGTGTGTGTGGATGTTTCCCAGAGATGGGTTGCGGCTGGAAGGGCGTCCACTGCGTAAAAAAACGTGCTGGATAAGTTGGCGGTTGATTCTGCTGTGGCGACCCCAGATTAATAAAGGGACTAAGCCGAGAAGAAAATGAATTAATGGATGACGTAAAATTGTAAATAAATGAACAAAATCATCTTTAAATTATACTGATAAATTGCATTTTTTTATATCCCACAATAAAAACATTGAAATAAGACACCACATTCATGTTATAATTGTACTTTTATTAAACAAAAAGCAGCCTTAGGGTGCAGAAGGCATAAAGAATGTATTTTCAAACTTTTGCCTCGCACTGTAGAGTAAATAAACACAATGAAGCCGAAATGAACCATGTAATTTGATTGTTGCAATGAAATCAATAGAGTTGTGTTTGATTTGTAGGGCGTCTACACTCAGAAGAGGGTGGATCCTCAGAAAGTCAAGGAGGAAGTTGTTGATTTTGCACGTTATAAGTGGCCTTTATTATTCTCCAGATTCTACGAGGCCTTCAAGTTTTCAGGTATTTATTTTTTCGTTATGTCAGATTAATGTGAGAAACTGCAGGCAAAAACTTTTCATTCACCAGTCCGGTTTGAGTTTTGCTTTTTTCTCTTCTTTTCCTCATTGTGTTTTTCTGTATAATATATATAAAACAACTAAAATCATCATAATTCTCCACTTTAGAAGCTTTTACATACACCAGACTTCACAGTTTTATTCATACATTATATATATATATATATATATATATATATATATATATATATATATATATATATATATATATATATATATATATATATATATATTCTGAAGGTTTTTACTGAGGGATTTGTTCAAAAATAATAAGCATTTAATGCACAAAAAGGTTCTGTCTGCTCACAGTATTTCCTGAGTTATAAAGTGATAAAAGGTAATTTTTAAAATCCACTTTTAAAAATATTTAAAAATCCAATATATATCCAATATAAGTGCATATTTAATGACTGAATATCTCATTTGCATAGTTACACAACATTGTAGATATCTTCTAATATAAAAACTTAAACATGGGCAATATTCTGCTCGTTTTGCAACTCATCCGTATAGTGCGTAATATTCAATCTCTGTCCACTGATTGGTTGATTGTGTTACTATTTGTCTATGTTTTAGTTCTTACAGAAATATTGCAGGTTTTATGGCTGTATGTTTGTGTGATGGGCTTGCCGTATTGTGTTTTTAGGTCCTAGTTTACCCAAGAATGATGTGATCGTGGCTGTAAACTGGACCGGTGTGTATTTTGTGGACGAGCAGGAGCAGGTTCTTCTGGAGCTCTCCTTCCCAGAGATCACAGCCGTGTCCAGCAGCAAGTACGACTTTAATACTGTGATTTACCTGCAGGGATTATACAGCTGAAGAGAACATTATTAGCATTTTTTACACCCATTTTATTTAATGTTTCAAACATTTACCAAGTGCTGTTTAACAGTACAAGGAATTTTTTCTCAGTATTTTGTATTATAATTTACTTTTGGAGAATTATTTTTTTTTCCTTTTAGTTTGGCTGGAATAAAAAAAATAAATATGATATTAATTAATATTAATTATATAATATTATTAGAACTCTTAAGAGATTATATTTTTTGATTGGCTACAGAACAAACCACTGTTGTCTAGTGACTTGCCTAATTAGCCTAAATTGCCTAGTTAACTCTTTTCCCACCGTTGATAATTTTTGAGAGTTTGTGTTTTAGGTAGATAATGGTAAGGGAAGCCCTAACATATGTCATGGGTGAGTTTCAGGACTTCTGGTTCTCCTGTGAGCGAGATAAAAGACAATCAGAGAAAGTAAAATCAGATTGCATGTAAATATATACGTGTGTGTGTGTGTGTGTGTGTGTGTGTGTGTGTGTGTGTGTGTGTGTGTATGTGTATATATATATATATGTATATGTTGTTAAACAAAGAAAGGAAATTTTCACAGTATGTCTGATAATATTTTTTCTTCTGGAGAAAGACTTATTTGTTTTATTTCGGCTAAAATAAAAGCATGTTTGAATTTTTTAAACACCATTTTAAAGACAAAATTATTAGCCCCTTTAAGCTATATTTTTTCTCAATAATCTACAGAACAAACCATCATTATAGAATAACTTGCCTAATTACCCTAACCTGCCTAGTTCACCTTTATTAACCTAGTTAAGCCTTTAAATGTCACTTTAAGCTGTATAGAAGTGTCTTGAAAAATATCTAGTCAAATATTATTTACTGTCATCATGGCAAAGATAAAATAAATCAGTTATTAGAGATGAGTTATTAAAACTATTATGTTTACTATTGTGTTGAAAAAAATCTTCTCTTCTCTCTGTCAAACAAAAAAAAAAAATAAACAAGGGGCCAAAAATTCTAGGGGGCTAATAATTTTGACTTCAACTGTATATATATATATCTTGACAATTCACTACTTTTAGTCAAAAGTGTTGCATTTGAAAAACAAGAACACATGAAGATAGAAGATATACATAATCTATAAACATATATATATATGTGGGCAAAGCAGTGGCGCAGTAGGTAGTGCTGGCGCCTCTCAGAAAGAAGATCGCTGGGTCGCTGGTTCGAACCTCGGCTCAGTTGGCGTTTCTGTGTGGAGTTTCCTCCGGGTGCTCCTGTTTCAAAGACATGTGGTACAGGTGAATTGGGTAGGCTAAATTGTCCGTAGTGTATGAGTGTATGTGTGTGTTTGTGGATGTTTCCCAGAGATGGGTTGTGGCTAGAAGGGCATCTGCTGCGTAATAACGTGGTGGATAAGTTGGCGGGTCATTCCGCTGGGGTGACCCCGGATTAATAAAGGGACTAAGCCGACAAGAAAATGAATGAATGAATATATATATATATGTTTTTGGTTTAAAAGGAGAGGCTCAGTTCCTAGCAGTAAATATTAATTTAGGTAGAAATCATCAACAAGTCTGGTGGTGAAAAAAAACAATGAAAATGTCACTTTTAGCTGAATACTAGTATCTTGCAAAATAACTAATAACTTATTGAGTACTGTCATCATGGCAGTGAAATTAGTTATTAGAAATTAGTTGTGTAAACTGTTATTTTTAAAAATGTGTTGAAAAAAATTCTCTGTAATAACTTGCGAAAATATTTCAAAAGAATAAACGTTTCACAGAATGGCTAATAGTTTATTCTTCCTTCTGTGCTGAATGAATGGACTTCTGTGTTTGTCAGAGGCGGGAAACTTCAGGCTCAGAGCTTCACTTTGGCCACCATTAAAGCAGACGAGTTCACCTTCACCTCTAATAATGCAGAGGACATTCGGGACCTGGTGGTCACTTTCCTGGAGGGGCTGCGCAAGAGGTCAAAGTTCGTCGTGGCCTTGCAGGACAATCCCAGTCCAGGTCAGAGACACACAAACACATCAGACTCTATTAATAGACTTGAACTCTTTTGCTTTTACTTAAATGGGTCAATTTTAGAAATGCATGTACAGACTATATTTCTGCACGCAATCAAAAGAGAAGAACGGGAAATTACTGTTTTGCATGGAATAAATAAAACAACTCAAATTTCTAGCAGAAAAGAAAACATGAAATACACTTCATGTACAAAATAAAGTCAGAGTTCAAAATTGAAAATAAAATATTAAATTATGTTATCCATAAACAGAAGGAGGCCCATTTTAGCTACCAGGTAACATTTCATATATATATATTTATATATACGGCAAAAGGAAACCTAAAATAATTTTAAAACCCAGGTCAATTTAAGACTAGGGCCCAGGGCATATTTCAGTCTAAATCTAAGAAAGTACAAAAACTAGAGCTACTTTAACAAAATAACTTAAGTTTTAATTCCCCCACAGTTCAAACACATGCACTATAGGGGAATTGAACAAACTAAATTGTCCATAGTGCACTGAAAAAAATTATTCAAAGATGATTTCTTGTATTTACTCAATTTTTTTACGTTAAGTGTTTGTAAACAATTTAATTGTGTTGAATTTAAACAAACAAATTAAGTTGAACATTATTCAATTTAAATTGTTTGCTTAAATTCAACACAAATAAATTGTTTGCAACAGTTCTGCATGCAACACTTTTTTCAGTGTGTATGTGTGTGAATGCAGGAGTGTATGGGTGTTTCCCAGTGTTGGGTTGCAGTTTGAAGGGCATCTGCTGCGTAAAGCATATGCTGGATAAGTTGGTGGTTCATTCTGCTGTGGCGACCCCTGATGAATAAATGGACTATGCCAAAAAGAAATTGAATGAAATTAGTACACCCAGTATGAATATGTTATGGGGGGAAATATAATAAAAGATAAACAGGAAAAATTAAGAGAAATATAAAAAATATATTTTATAGTTTGTAATTTAGTTGTTGTTGGTTCCTTATTTGAATTGACATGCATTATCTTTCCATTCCTAAAGCTGGTTGAGCACCAAACTATTTTAATGAATTTAACTGTTTAATAAAACTGTTTTGTTTAAATGCACCGGTGTTGTTTGCCGGTTTGGTCTCTCACAACAAACGATATCTTGGAGCCAATAGCTAGACTGTACAATAGGTCCTATAAGATCCACAACAGACTTTCTGGATGGACACATCACTGTTTTGCTCTATCACTTTCTAATGCTTTAACATCTCAAAACTACATTATGAACACAGGTATTAAACTGTACTATCAAATTTTAAATAGCGCTACCTTAGCAGCCCCTTGTGCTTTGGTACCAAAACTCAACACAAGGACTGATCGTTCCACGAAATCTGTAACAAATGGATGATTGCCACTACCGGCTTTTGAAGACTGTTTTGGACAGAGATCTTTCTTTCATGTTTTGAGAATCCCACAACATCTCAAAACAATACCAACACTGAGACTTTTTTTAAAATGCCATGCTCGTCATCTGATGGTGAACTATCGCTGTAGCCACTGACAGAGAAGCCTGCTTTTCTCTATTTTATATGATTGGTGATCGTTTGTACTGTGTTGATGGATGAGATGTCTGTCTGTTTTATGCTTTGCAGAGCAGGAACCTGCTGAAAAACAGCATTCATGCTGAGTCAGGCCCGATTATATTTTAATCTTTTCCTGTTTAAAAAACTATAAATATATAAATAAAAATAAGTAAAAATATATTGTGTAAATTCACTTTGAAATTGATACAAAAATAAATTTTCAAAAGGGACACCTTATTTATGCTGTGCATATTATTTTATTTTAATTTATCATCATTATTATTATGGTTATTTATTTACATTTTTTGAGTCTTGTATTGGGTAGGCTAAAATTGTCCGTTGTGTATGAGTGTGTGTGTGTGTGTGTGAATGAGTGTGTGTGCATGGATGTTTCCCACAGATGGGATGTGGCTGGAAGGGCATCCGCTGCGTAAAAACGTGCTGGATAAGTTGGCGGTTCATTATGCTGTGGCGACCCCGGACTAAAATTCAATTTCAATTCAATTCACCTTTATTTGTATAGCAATTTACAATATAGATTGTGTCAAAGCAGCTTCACATAGAAGATTATAGTAAATTGGGACAGTGATGTTCAGTTCAGTGTAGTTTAATAATCACTACTGAGGGTCTAAACCAGGTGTGGGCAAACATGATCCTGGAGGGCCAGTGTCCTGCATAGTTTAGCTCCAACCCCATTCAAACAGACCTCTCCATAGAGTTCAAGTGATCTTGAAGACACTGATTAGTTTGTTCAGGTGTGTTTGACTAGTGTTGGAACAAAACTCTGCAGGGACGCCGGCCCCCGAGGATCAAGTTTGCCCATCCCTGGTCTAAACACTGGAGGGCAAATCCATCGATGCGTAGCTCTACTGATCCCAAACCATGCAAGCCAGTGGTGACAGCGGAGAGGAAAATAAACTTCACAAATTAATAAAGGGACTAAGCCAACTAGAAAATGAATGAATGAGTCTTGTATCTTCTGTCATGTCCCTCAGCTGCTGATGACTCCACATTCCTGAGTTTCCTAAAGGGGGATCTGATCGTTCTGGACCAGGACACCGGTGAGCAGGTCATGACGTCCGGCTGGGCTCACGGCACCAACGACAGGACAAAACAGAGAGGAGACTTTCCCGCGGACTGCGTTTACGTGCTGCCCACCGTGGTCAGACCACCGCACGATGTCGTGGTACTGCTTTAACATCATATCCTTAATTACACATGCCCCTAAAACTTGTCCCAGAAACCTGTCCCATACGGACCCGGACTAAACTCTGCATCATTTAAATGCAATAATCAAATCTAAATAATGGGATTAAGCTAATAATTGCTGTAAGGAGAATCACATTAACAAAGGTGATGAACCCTGAGTTTAATCAGGCATGTAAACATCTTATTAGCATTGTTGCTGTTCTGACCAAAGTGCAGATGTGTAAATAAAACAGCAGTCAGTAACACAGCTACTCTTAAAAAGTCCAGCATTTGGGCTGTGTAGTGAAACGTGATTATTTTAATGCACATAATGCATTTCAATAGGACAAAAATTGCCTATAGTTTGTAATAGAAAATAACTGAGAGTTTTGCTTCCAGTTCTGACATGCAAACTTCAGATTTCAATTTAAGCCCTTAAAAATAATCCCATTATCCATGCACATGTAAAAGCGTCTCTTCTGTGCTCTCTCTGACTGCATGGTTTAGGCTTTTGTCACGATGACCCCAGATCAGCGTCAGGAGTCGCTCCGCATCTCACACGTCCCAGCACTGACTGAGACGGAGGAGAGGGTAAAGCCCTACACGCTGGAGGAGTTCTCCTACGACTACTTCCGGTCAGCACAAATTACTTTTAAAAATGAAATAACGATCAATTTTTACATATTTAAAATGTCATTTTTTTAATTATTATTTATTTATAATTTTTTCTATTTGGTCGAATAACTGTTTTTATTTAGATTTTTGCATACTTTATATTATTTAACATAAAGACTGCGTCAATCATGGCAAGCTATGGAAATGTCTGAAGCAGATGGGCATCCCGCAGCATTTAATAGATCTGACACTCAAAAGGCCACGGTCAGGACGGCATTCGGCAACACTGACTGGTTTGGGATTGAGAAAGGTGTTCGACAAGGATGCATTTTATCGTCTACCCTGTTCAATCTGTATGCCGAAGTGGTCATGGGGCTATGCAATCTGGCCAATTACCAATCGGAGTGAAGATCAGCGGGAGAAACATCAACAACCTTTGTTATGCCGATGATACGACCCTGATTGCAGAAAGTGAAAAGGACCTCAAATATCTGGTCTGAAGAGTGAAAGAAGAAAGTGAACGCATGGTACTGTACCTCAACATCAAGAAAACAAAGTTAATGACAACAGCAAGCAATGGTACAGTCCACATAACAATTGACAATGAGGAAATCGAATCAGTCCAAGACTTCATCTTCCTTGGATCCAAGATCAACCACAATGGCGAGTCAGGGCCGGAGATCAGAGGAAGAATCGCACTTGGCCGCAGTGCAATGCAAGGAATGGAGAAGTTATGGAAAAGCAAGGACATCAGCATTGTAACAAAGATCAGAGTAATCAATGCCATCGTTTTCCCACTCTCCATGTATGCATGTGAGAGCTGGATACTCAAGAAGAAAGACAGAAGGAAGATCGATGCTTTCGAATTGTGGTGCTGGAGGCGAATGATGCGCATACCATGGAGGGCGAGAATCACAAACAAAACGATCCTGCAGCGTGTCAAACAAAATGTATCGCTAGAGGGCAAAATCACCAAGCAGAGGATCTCGTTCTTTGGTCATATCATGCGAGCCAACTCCATGGAAACAGCTTTAATGCTCGGTGCAGTCAGTGGATCGAGAAGAAGAGGGCATCAAAGAACAATCAAGACTGACACGATCTTGAACATGGAACAACTGAAAGAAGCAGTCAGAAATAGGAAAGTGTGGCAAATCACGATCCATAAAGTGGCCGAAAGTCGGTATCTACTGGTTGGCTAATTATCATCATCATCATCATCATCATAATAATATTATTTAAAATATAACATTTATATTGTTTTTATAATATTATTTTACATTATTATTTTATGCTGAAAAAAATAGGCTGTTTTCTTTTGGCAGAATATAATTGTTTCTTTCTTAAATTTAGGCAGATTTTTTGGATCTGGACCATAAAATATGCTTCTTTCTTTGTCCCATATTTATTTATTTATTACAAAATATATATTATTTTATTACAAAAAGAGTTTATTTAACTCCCATGTCAACTTAAAATCAAATAAAAATTATATTGTAATATAACAATTTATGTGAATTAAGTAAATTAAACATCATCTGTGATATTACTCAAACAAGAATGCAAGGAGATATAGTTTTCTTGACATTTTAACAGGTTATGTTGAAATCCTAATTTTTCACTAGTTCTGTTTATTTATTTATTTTATTATAAATGGTTTGGTCACACTGTACAATAAGGTTTCATTAGGAAATGATAGTTAATGTTAAGTATAACCAATGCTTGTACGGCATTTATAAATATTGATATCAACATTTACTAATGCTTTATTAAAATACAAAGTTTTGCTTCTTAGCATTAGTTAATCCACCGTGAGTTAACAAACTAACATTGAAACTGTATTTTCTTTAACTAGAACATTTTTGCTAACTAGAACAAATACTGCAATAAATGTATTGTTCGGTGTTTGTTCATGTTAGTAAATGCATTAACTAACATTAACCAACACAACCTTGTTGTCAAGTGTTACCAATGGTTTTATTGTGCTCGATTCATCAATGCATGATGTTTTGAAGTAAAAACATTTTAACTTTACATTAAAATCGAAGAACATGTCGGCGCAATAGCCTAGAGCACAGGTGTCAAACTCGGTTCCAAAAGGGCCGCAGCTCTGCACAGTTTAGTTCCAACCCTAATTAAACACACCTGATCAAACTAATTGAGTCCTTCAGGATTGTTTGAAACCTTTGTGCAGGGCTTTGGCCCTCCAGGAATTGAGTTTGACACCCCTGGCCTAGAGGTTAGCGTGCCGAAATATTATGCAGTAGCATGTTAGGGTGTCCTGAGTTCGAATCCCAGCTCGAGGACATTTCCCTACACCCCTCTCTCTCTCCCACTTCGCTTCCTGTCTCAATACTGTCCTATCTAATAAAGGCAAAAAAAAAATCGAAGAACATGATTAATAAGCAGAGCTGCCGTGTGTTTTGTCCTGCAGGCCTCCTCCTAAACACACTCTGAGTCGAGTGATGATCACCAAGAACCGAGGGAAGGATAAACTGTGGTGCTGCACTCGAGAGCCCATCAAACAGGCGCTGCTGAAGAAGTGTGGGGGACACGAGGAGCTCTCACAGGAGGCTTGCATGGCTTTCATCGATATCCTTTCTGCACAATAGTTTCATATGTTTGCTTTGGTTTTTACTTAACCTAGAACATACAAACTTCATCATCATCATCATCATCATCATCATTTTCATCCGCTTATCTGGGGCCGGGTCGCGGGGGCAGCAGTCTTAGTAGAGAACCCCAGACTTCCCTCTCCCCAGACACTTACCTGGGTTTCCTCTGGGTGCTCCGGTTTCCCCCACAGTCCAAAGACATGCGGTACAGGTGAATTGGGTAGGCTAAATTGTCCGTGGTGTATGTGTGTGGATGTTTCCCAGAGATGGGTTGCGGCTGGAAGGGCATTCGCTGCGTAAAAACTTGCTGGATAAGTTGGCGGTTCATTCTGCTGTGGCGTACTTGGATTAATAAGGGACTAAGCTGACAAAAAAATGAATGAATGAATGAATTTATTATATAATTTTATTATATTTATAAATATTTATTTTTCTTAATTTTAAGCAGAAATGGGACGTGTTTGCATACAATAGGCTATTTTATGACCAATATTTATATTATATCATTCATTCATTCATTTTCTTGTCGGCTTAGTCCCTTTATTAATCCGGGGTCGCCACAGTGGAATCAACCGCCAACTTATTCACCACATTTTTACGCAGTGGATGCCCTTCCAGCCGCAACCCATCTCTGGGAAACCTCCACACACATTCACACACACACACACTATGGACAATTTAGCCCACCCAAGTCTTTGGACTGTGGGGGAAACCGGAGGAAACCCGGAGGAAACCCACGCGAACACAGGGAGAACATGCAAACTCCACACAGAAACGCCAACTGAGCCGAGGATCGAACCAGCAACCCAGCGACCTTCTAGCTATGTGGCGACAGCACTACCTACTGCGCCACTGCTTCGCCCTATATTATATTATATCATATAATAAATAAATATTTGATTTTTAAAAATATATATTTTTTAATAATAATCATTTTATATTTTTTCTTCATGTCTGGCTGACCTAGACCAGAAAATACTTTATGAAAAGCATACTTTAGTATATTTTTCAAATTAATTTTATTTGTATGTTAAATGATGCTTGCTTCTTCCACTTAATGCAACAAACACTTTCATATTTGTATTTATTTATATTAATTATGGGCTTAAATTACCTGGTCTCCCAAAAAGTTTTTTTTTTCCTTCAAATTAAGCTCTAAAATATCCTTTAATTTGCAGTGTATTGTGTGTTTGATCCTCCTTGACCGTGTGTCCTGCACCAGTAATGAAGTATATGGGTGATTATCCGTCTAAACGCACACGCTCAGTGAACGAGCTCACGGATCAGATCTTTGAAGGAGCGCTGAAGGCTGAACCACTCAAAGACGAGATTTACTGTCAGATCCTTAAACAGCTGACAGAAAACCACATCAAGTACGTCATTTATAAACACTCTATAGTGGTCAAAAGCTTACACTAAAAAATTTAGTATTCTAGTCCAAATATCTACAAATTCGTAAATCAAGACATATTTTCCAGACAAGCAAAAGAATATTGCCTTGTTTTCAGAAATAATATGTCAAAATGAAGTGAGTTTTTCTTTAAATAAGCAACATTAATCTGCCAGTGGGGTCAGCAAAATAATCTTTGATCTCAATTTGAAGTAAGATTATTTTCCTGACCGCATTGACAGATTATTTTGCTTGTTTTGGAGAAAAACTCACTTCATTTTGACATATTATTTCTGAAAACAAGACAAATTGTTCTTTTTGCTTGTCTAGAAAATATATTTTTATTTAAGAATTTTTTGTGTGTGTATTTGTGTGAGTTTGTGACTGTGTGTATGTGTGTTTATCCATGTTTGTGATGTGTTTTGGTGCATGTATGTGTGCTAATTGTTAACACACGTACACATTTGTTTTGTTTGTTTTATTTAAATTCATTTTGAGATATACTGTAAATATTTATATATATTTTGACATATTCTGTGTCTGTCTGTCTGTCTGTCTGTCTCTTTGTCTGTCTGTCTGTCTGTCTGTCTGTCTGTCTGTTTGTCTGTCTGTCTGTCTGTCTGTTTGTCTGTCTGTCTGTCTGTCTGTCTGTCTGTCTGTCTGTCTGTCTGTCTGTCTGTTTGTCTGTCTGTCTGTCTGTCTGTCTGTCTGTCTATGTGTGCAGGTACAGTGAGGAGAAGGGCTGGGAGCTGCTCTGGCTGTGTGTTGGTCTCTTTCCTCCCAGTAATGTCCTCTTACCACACGTCCAGCGCTTTCTACAGTCCAAGAAACATCATCCTCTGGCTCTGGACTGCATGCAAAGACTACAAAAAGCCTTACGGTGAACACACACACACACACACACCAGCCGTGGAGTTGTTCTTCAGTAGGAATTTAGCAGAGACATCTGCATTACACTGAACTAAGCTGCAACAGTGACATTTATACTGAAACCGTTTCAGCAAAAAAAATATATATATTATTATAGCTGTTACTCTCTTTTCTTCATCTATGTTATCCTCTTAACAGCCCAAGCTGTTTTTAACATGCATTTTTTATTTCTCTTTGCTTTTTGGGCTTATTGGAACCTAATAAGAATATAACCTACGAATCATCTTTTGATATGATGTACTTTTAGAGAAAAATGATGTCCATATATGTGGACTCGTGGTCTGAATTTCCATATAACACAATAAAGTCACCTTTGTGAAAACGCTTTATTTCTGCCTTGAACACAGCAGTTTTTTTCCTGATTGTTTTTAATGCATTAATAACACATTCACATATATTTTTGAACATGTTTTGACTATCAGTAAAACAACATTTTTTGCCCATTTTTGACACTTAAAAATTGGGTTTGGGACATTACATATGCTGCAAAACAGTTGCAGCATGACACTGTATGTCTGTAACAGAGTATAAAACAGAAGACATGAGAGCTAAAATGTGCTGTCCACGTACAGTAGGTGAGAGTTCAAAGTGACCATTACCGCCGGGGCTTATACCGCCGCCGTTTGAAATTGCTGCCGCTCTGTTTTTAGTGTATGACCGCAGTTTGTGAATAAGCTGCCAGGGGGCACAAAGGGACGGGATGCGAACGGATAGAAATAGCCCATACAGCAGCTTTAAATATGCTACTGTGCTTGTAAATGAGATTAAACATTAAGTCAAAGCATTATAATTCCTTCATTAATCATTTAAAATTTGTTAACACGCTTTATTGTAAGCTTGTTAAGTGCAAAGAGGACTCGTTTTGGAAAATAGAATTGAAGAAAAAAAAGACAACTAAAATGAAAGCACAAACATTCAGTACAAATAAGTAGTCTTAAATAAATAAATAAATAAATAAATAAAGCAGTCTTTTAGCCTAAATATAGAGAGATGTTCAGTATTTGCTATTTTGATAGGACTAAGACAAAACATTTTCATTAATGTTTTCATTTACGTTTTTATTTACATTTTCGTTGTTGATTATATTTTACTATCTCATTTAATGTTTCAAATATTGCACAGTTCAGCCGTGAGGTACATCTTTGGGAAACGCCCCCCTCTGGGCCAAAGCGGGTTGATTTTAAAATAATTAAGATATAGATTAATTAAATATTCAGCAAAAGAGACACTTATTTCATATTTTACTATGCATTTCATCTGATACTACCCCAGTAAGATGGGCAGTTTCTGTTCGACAGGGACTCAAGGTTGTTTTGTATGTGTTGGATTTTCGGGTAGAATTTCTCCCGGATCTCAGAGTATTTACGTGCACACAGTAAGAAGTGCAGCTCCGTCTGAATCAGCTGCTGAGGGCAGTGTGGGCACAGCCGCTCGTCCACCGGCAGCCATGTGTTTCTGTGCCGGCCTGTCTCTACGGCCAGCTGGTGTCCGCTGCCCGCTTCTAACATGTTAGAAAATACTGCCAATCAAGCTCGGTATCTCCTCATAGTTGAAATTGTTCGTTATTCGAAAAAAAGAACGAATATCAGCGCGCAGTAGTTGCTTTATTTTAGGCATGTATTCAGCTGACAGCGCACGTTATAAACTTGAAGTTATGATAACTTTTATTGATAATGTTTGTTTTTATCAAATTTTCTGTCATTTATTTCTCATTTGCTACTTATTTTATTAATTTGTTGATGTTAATATATTACATAGGCTATTTGTATATGCATATCTAAAATCCTTTGGCATTCAAATTTGCTTTGAGCTTGAAAAAGAGAAAGAATCTGATTTAGCCTGTCAGAGTGAGAACATTGCTTCTGAATAGCATTTCTTTTTTACTTCAGTCTTTACTTTAACCTATTAAAAAGAAAAGTGTCATAATAAATACAACTATTATTATTAAAAATGGAATTATGTTTTGTTTATCGCATATATATAAGTGATATAAGTGATGTGGGTAAATGGTGTGTTTTAATCCGGCTACCACCGCAAGTGCATGCGGGAAGCACTGTAATTGATAGTTTTTCCAATGAGTAGTGAAATACATATACATTTTTATTAAGTGTTGTTCACATTAAATAATAATACAAAAACATTTATTTAAAAAATATTTTGTGACACCCACATCCGTCATTTAAACGCAGGTTTATTTTATAAATAATAACTCAGAATTTATGCGTTAGTTTTAGTCCGATAAAAAACTAACGTCTATACAATACTATATGTAAAAACTAAACTGTTATGAACTAACTTTTGGGAAACTGCGAATTTAACGAACTATTTTTGTAACGACTGGACCTTAGTTGGCAAGCCATTGTTCTAGCTGTCCTGTACAGCGACCTTGAGTGTCATGAAAGGCGCCTTTAAATAAAATGCATTATTATTATTTATTTAGCTTACCCAGTTATCCTGTACCACATGTCTTTGGAGGAAACCGGAGCACCCGGAGGAAACCCATGCGAACGCAGGGAGAACATGCAAACTCCACACAGAAACACCAACTGACCCAGCTGAGGATCGAACCAATGACCTTCTTGCTGTGAGGCGACAGCACTACCCGCTGCCCCACTGTGTCGCCCTTTATTAAAACTATTATGTTTAGAAATGGGTTGAAAATATCTTCTCTCTGTTAAACCGAAATTGGGGAAAAATAAACAGGGGAGCTAATAACTCTGACTTCAACTGTACACCTCAAAAAACTTCATATTTAATTGGAGCTTTTAGTTTAGTTTATAATAAATAAAATATTTACTCATACTATTAAGTTCAAACTTAACTTAATTTTTTTTTTTTTTGAGTTTAGCAATTGGTATTGTATTTAGTTTTTATTTATTGTTTCTTTTGCATTTCAGTTATTTTGGACCGTGTAGATTTTTTATATAGCTTTTTTGTTAGCTTGTTATATTTAACTTCATTTTGATAATGTAGAATATTCATTCATTCATTCATTTTCAGCTTAGTCCCTCTTATTAATCTGGGGCCACAGCGGAATGAACCACCAACTTATCAAGCATATGTTTTATGCAGCGTGTGCCCTTCCAGCTGCAACCCATCACTGGGAAACACCCATACACTCCCATTCACAGTCATACACTACAGACAATTTAGCCTACCCAATTCACCTATAGTGGATGGGTTTGGACTGGCCCAGCCGGGATTCGAACCAGCAAACATCTTACTGTGAAGCAACAGCTCTGTAGAATATTCAAATGCCATTTTAGATCAACTTTGAGATGCAGAAATCAAAAATTTACATTAATTTTAGTTCAGGTTTGAGAAAATTGGTTGTATTGTCATTTATATTAGTTCAAAGATGTCCTTTTAACAGTATAATCTTTTTAGTTTAGTTGTAGTTGTTAGAACTACTTTTTGAAATGTAGTATTAGTTGTTGAGTGTTTTTCCAGTTTTTTCTTTTGTCTGTCGGCTCCCAGTGAATACAAGTCTTTAATGGAGTTGTTATCTGGTTCTGTTGAATATGAAGGACAGCATGACTCATCATAAACTCTGTATGTCTATCTGTGCAGGAACGGCTCCAGGAAATATCCTCCTCACCTAGTGGAGGTGGAGGCCATTCAACACAAAACCACGCAGATCTTTCACAAGGTTTACTTCCCTGATGACACAGATGAGGTCAGACTCGTTCATCTGCACAGGACAGATTGAGCTTTTCATGTGGTTCTGATGTGACGCTTATTAATGGGACGTCTTGATATTTAAGAACGCTAACGTGACTATCGTTACATGAAATAAGAGCTTCACATTTCTGCTTTTAACCCTGCAGGATGTAATCGATCAAATAATTGACTAAAGCCGCCTTTCCACTGCACGCGACATTTGGACACGACTGTCAAAATACGCCCCCTTGTGGCAGTCGCACAGTATTTTCAGTGTTGTCATGCACCATGGGAGAGATTCTCAAGCTGCGTCAAATGGCACACTATACACTATGCACTCATGCACTCATGCACTATGTACTTATGCACTTACACACTCAACAGGATAGTATATGTTTTAGTATAGTGTTGTCCCAAATGGCACACTAATGTTTTTTTACTAAGCGAAAATTCAAACCGTTTCCCTGATGACGTTTGACGGTTGCCAAATCAGTGAAATAAATGAGCAAACTATCAAATAATATCTGCCGTGAGTATAACCGCATTCACCATCGGGAGGCGCTATAATCACTCTCGCAGGAGAACTTTGCTTTCACCATCCAAACTAAATAAAGTTATCCAACATGTGCGCCCGATAGCTCCGCCCCTTCCGCTACGTAAGCAAACCTGCGGTCGTTGAGTGCGGGAAGTGTCCATCATTACACACTTCATTTTAGCGGCTGAATAAGCGCATCATCCGGGTAACTAAAGTGCACTTATTATTTTTAGAGTTTTCAGTGTGAACTTATTACTTACACTATTTATACTACAAAATGGCGTAGAATAGTGCATAAGTATGCGATTTGGGACGCAGCTATTGTGTCCGAAATAAAAGAGTGCAAAAGCAAGAGCCTTTATTCTCTGTGCTTTGGCATGGTTTATTAAATGAATGAATACTAGTAGAAACTCATAGGCCGCTAAAATATTGGAGGGAATGTGTAGACAACATTAAAAAATATTATTTTATTACTTTCTTACTTACATTTAAGAACAGAAATGTTCTTTTTTTAATATAGACTTTTTATAATTCAAAAAATAACCAAATAAACTCCTATTTCCCATCTCGCGCGCACGGACCTGCTTGTATAACACTGGAATACATCACATCCAGTCGGCCGGTCGCATACAGTCTAGTCACAGAAGTTCAAATATTTCAACGCATCCGCAGCTCAATTCGGAATTTTCCGCATACGGAGATGATCGGAACTTCACGCTGCTCCCGGACTACTCTCCATTGGAAATGAAGGACTTCCGGTCTGTTGCTTGTCGTTTGTCGTGTGCAGTGGAAAGGAGGCTTAAGACAGTAAATTATTTATACTAGTATATAAAGTATATATAGTACAGGGGTGTCCAAACTCGGTTCTGGAGGGCCAGCGTCCTAGAGAGTTTAGCTCCAACTTGCTTCAACACACCTGCCAGGAAGTGTCTAGTATATCTAATAAGAACTTGATTAGCTTGTTCAGGTGTGCTTGATTAAGGTTGTAGCTAAACTCTCCAGGACACCGGCCCTCCAAGACCGAGTTTGGACAGGAGTTTGTGATAAATCATGTTAAAAACATACTAGCAACAAGCTAAAACATGCTAGGATTGTTGAATCATGCTAGATATTATTCTCATAAATTGTTAAAAACATTTTAAAAGCCATCAACTGTTTTCTTAGGCATGATATTAACAATATATACATGCTACAGTAGTAGCAGTATGGTAAATCGTGATACAAACATGCTAAAATTTTTCATATAGTTAAATCATGCAAATAAATGTTTGCAAGCTGGAGAAACATGCTAGCAGTTTGTAAAAATGTTCTAGCAGTTTCCAGAAACATGTTATGTGTTAAAACATGTTAGTAGTGTGTTCTTTAATGCAAGAAACATGGTTGCCAATGTTGAAAAATAACAGTTTGCACTTTCCAGTTTGTTTGCTAACCCCCATCTGCTCTCACCTATGTGTGTCGTACAGTTTTTTTACGCACAGTTATTTTTCGTGCCTAATTGCACTCTATTATATTGTAAATCGCCTTGAATGTGTGTTATTCTCAAATTTTTAATTTTGTTTTCAGACTTGATTGTGAGTGTATGACGTGGCTTTTGTTATGGTGTGTTTCAGGCATTTGAGGTGGAGTCCAGCACAAAGGCTAAAGATTTCTGTCTGAACATCTCCAGCAGACTCTTACTCAAAACACCAGAAGGCTTTAGTCTGTTTGTCAAGATCTCTGACAAGGTAAACACATTACTCATTCAGCACCTACGGTCTCAAACTCAATTCCTAGAGGGCCACAGCACTGCACAGCTTAACTCCAAATACCTCCAACTCACACTTGCTTAACAGTCTTTTGTAGTCTTGAACACCTGCATTAGTTGGATCAGCTGTGTTTGATTAGGGTTGGAGCAAAACTGTGCAGAGCTGCGACCCTCCAGGATTCCAATTTGAGACCTTTGAGCTACAGGTTTTTGACAGTAGCACACCATTGATGTTTTGTTGGATCTTTCTTTTTCTGTTGGATCAGAATACATGCAACCTGTTTTTAATCATTAACTGCAATATGTAGAGTTAGAACAAGGGCTGCACAGTATACCCAAATATTATCGTGCTTGCAATAATATTGCAATAATATGAAGTATCTATACCACAAAGAGGTGCAATAAATTACATTGATTGTATGTGTTAAGGGTGGCATGGTGGCTTAGTGGTTAGCACTGTCACCTCACAGAAAAAAGTTCATTGGTTCGAGTCCCGGCTGGGTCAGTTGGAGTTTGCATGTTCTCCCCGTGTTGACATGGGTTTCCTCCGGGTGCTCCGTTTTCCCCCACTGTCCAAACACATGCTCTTTAGATGAACTGAATAATTGAAATTGTCCGTAGTGTATGAGTGTGTGTGAATGAGTGTATGGGTGTTTCCCAGTAATGGGTTGCAGCTGGAAGGGCATCCGCTGCATAATTACGCTGTGGCGACCTCTGATAAATAAGGGACTAAGCCAAGGGAAAATGAATAAATCTGTTAAAAAATGACAACAGCCATTAAGAGACAAAATATGTAATTGGTTTTCATTCAATCAGTGTTTTAAAGACTAAGGGCTCTATCGTACACCCGGCGCAATGTGGCGCAAGGCATTTGTTGCTTGCTAGTTTCGCTAGCTTGCTAGTTTCGCTTAGTTCTGGCGCGTTGCTATTTTGAGGAACTTAAATAGACTGTTCAATAGACCAAAACAAAGCTGGTATAAAGTCCAATGCAGAGTGCGTTAGTTATGCGCCTCGCTTACACAGTGCTTAATACACACAGGATATACAGCAATACACAAATATCTTTACATATGAAAAATAATTAAAGGATTAAAATATTACAAAAATGATTATTTTCTAGCCTACATAAATATAAAAACCACTGCCTTCATGCCTTCTTCCTCTTGGGGCTTTTTCAGTTTATTCATAACAATTTGCTTTTGTATAATGTTATTATTATTAGCATTATTATTTATTATATGCACATTTATATTTGTTTTATTAAAAACAAGCTTAGATTTGCCCACCTGTCAGGTTTTAGACCATATGTGGCACAGCATGTGTATTTGGATATAACTCAGTTGTTTGAGCACACTTTTTTATTATTGTTTATTTATTCGTTTGCTGGAAATTAGAACTGAATTTAGAAATAGTTTTGAAACAAATCTTTGCGCTTAACAAACTAATTTTTTATGCTAGTTGTCTGTGAGTCCAACACGTTTGAGAGGGTGCTCGCTGCAGAGCCATTTGAGGAGAGGTGAGCTCCAGAGAGGGGGAGCATGAGCTGTCGCTCCTCCTCCTGTAAGCTGTTTTAATGCGTACACCAACCCCACCCCTAACCCTACCCCCAGTGACATCACTCGTAGAAGAAGTGCAAAAAAGGTGGAGCTCAAGCTTAAGCTCCCCCTCTCTGGAGCTCAGCTCTCCTCAAATGGCTCTGCAGCGAGCACCACTTGACACGTTTCCCTATCCATGAGAGTGAAAGTGAAAGTTAATAATGAGGAGGTTCATCTCTCATTCTCGCGCAGCAGATGCTCTGTTTAACTTTTTTCTCACTAGTGAAGCACTCAGTTTTTCCATTACAGAGTCCGCCATGTAAATAGCAAATGCGCTATGTCGTGACGCAACTAGCTCTTAAAGGGAATGGGAGATGAGACTCTGATTGGTTTATTCTCAAAACACACCTATAACTCATTAAGAAAATAAGCTCAACCCTGTTAGACCATGCGCAAGCGGATTTTTCCATCCTTAAAATAGCTAAAGTGGATTCTGACACGCCCTTAATGCTTTTGCGCCCTGCGCTTTGCACTTTGCGCCTGGATCGTTAAAATAGAGCCCAAATGTTTGCACCTTGATATGTTTTTTTTAATTTTTTAGCCTGAATTAATTTCATTGGATCAGAAAGATATTTAATACCAGTTTATTTTAGTATGGTCGTTACATGATTAAAAAAAAAAAAAACACAATGTTATATCACAAGAAATATTATTATTGCAATACTTGACAATATTGCGTGTCGCATAATTTCCCAGTATTGTGTAGCCCAGTATGCAGTTCTCATTAAAGCATATCTGAAAGGTGTAGTTTCTGCTCTGGTGTGTGTTGTAGGTGATCAGTGTGCCTGAGGGGGATTTCTTCTTCGACTTTGTCCGCCATTTGACCGATTGGATAAAGAAAGCAAGACCTGCTAAAGATGGTATGTCTGATTTCTGCTTTACATTGATGGTATACTGCATTTATGTCTCGTGTGCACTTTCAAAATATTAATATGACATTACTTGGGACATTCAGCGTCATGATATACTACCATTCAACCAAATGTGAGTTGTTAAGATTTTTGAAAGGTTTCTCTAATGCTTTTCAAGGCTGCATTTATTAGAAATATAGTATAAATTTGAAATATTATTCCCATTCAAAATGAATGTTTTCTATGTGAATAAATACTAAAATGTAATTTATTTCTGTGTTGCGAAGCTGAATTTTTCACATGATCTTTCAGAATTTATTGTAATACGCTGATTTAATGATCAAGAAAGATTTATTTTTATCATCAATGCTGAAAACAGTTGTGCCGCTTCATATTGTAAAGCTAATTAAAACCATTAAAAAAGCGACGTGGTAAAATTTGGGCTTATTTTCTGAGAAATAAAGTTTTTAAAACAGTCACAATTGTGAGATATAATAAATTATAGAGTCAGAATAATAAATTATAGTGTGTCGCCCTGAACTTTTGATCAATTGAATCTATAAATTTAATGCCAACGTTTGATTCTTTTGATTTGGGAATTATAAAAACCTGCAGAGTTGGAGTAACATCTCTTACTGTGGTGTTCAGGTATAGTGCCTTCACTGACCTACCAGGTGTTCTTCATGAAGAAGCTATGGACAACCACCGTTCCAGGCAAAGACTCCTTTGCAGACTCCATCTTCCACTATTATCAGGTCAGAAACACTGATGAACCCCATCAAGACAGCACAAACACTGGGCTGAGTATAATGCAGCATATAAACTCATTATAATGCCTGCTGTGTGTTAGGAGCTTCCTAAATATCTGCGAGGATATCACAAGTGTTCCAGGGAGGAGGTTTTCCAGCTCGGCGCTCTGATCTATCGAGTTAAATTTGAGGACGACAAATCCCACTTTCCCAGCATTCCCAAAATGCTGAAGGAGATGATTCCTCAAGACCTGATTCGCCAGCTCTCACCCGACGACTGGAAAAGGGTTTGTGTCAAAGCTTCAGATAAGACTGTCATGTTTTTTAAAATGTTAATAGTTATTGTCCGGTGCATTGCTAGAAATAAAGCTCTACTGAGGCAAAATATGCAGTTGAAGTCAGAATTATTAGCCTCCCTGTTTATTTTTTTCCCTCAATTTCTGTTTAACAGTAAGAAGATTTTACAACACATTTCTAAACATAATAGGTTTAATAACTCATCTCTAATAACTGATTTATTTTATCTTTGCCATGATGACAGTAAAAGATGGACTATTGACTAGATATTTTTTTTCAGACTCTTCTATACAGCTTAAAGTGACATTTAAAAGCTTAACTAGGTTAACTAGGCAGGTTAGGGTAATTAGGTAAGTTATTGTATAACGATGGTTTGTTCTGTAGACAGTAAAAAACATTGCTTGAATAGGCTAGTAATTTTGACCCTAAAATGGTTCATAAAAATTCAAAAACTGCTTTTATTCTAGCCGAAATAAAACAAATAAGACTTTCTCCAGAAGAAAAAATATTATCAGACATACTGTGAAAATTTCCTTCCTCTGTTAGACATCTGTTTATTTTTTCCCCAATTTCTGTTTAACAGAGAGCAGATTTTTTCAACACATTTCTAAACATATTAGTTTAATAACTCATCTCTAATAACTGATTTTTTTTATCTTTGCCATGATGACAGTAAATAATATTTGACTAGATATTCTTCAAGACACTTCTATACAGCTTAAAGTGACATTTAAAGGCTTAACTAGGTTAATTAGTTTAATTAGACAGGTTAGGATAATTAGGCAAGTTATTGTATAATGATGGTTTGTTCTGTAGACTATCGAAAAAAAAAAAGATTTGCCTAAAGGGGCTGATAATTTTGTCCTTAATATGGTGTTTAAAAAATCAAAAACTGCTTTTATTCTAGCCGAAATAAAACAAAAAAGACTTTCTCCAGAAGAAAAACTATTATCAGACACACTGTGAAAATTTCCTTGCTCAGTTAAATTGGATCATTTGGGAAAAATTTTTAAAAAGAGAAAAAAATGTAAAGGGCGGCTAATAATTCTGACTTCAACTGTGTGTGTGTGTATGTATGTGCCCCTCACAAATCTTTTAAATTCATATTTTTAATAGGAAGCTATGCAATATTATATTTGTGCATATACATTAGATTAGTCAGTACTGAAACCAAATCTGGAGCTTATCTAACAAAATAACTTACGATAACAGTCCAAAAACTATTACAGCCAAATTTATATCTTATAGAAAAGTATTCAATGCAATTTTTTGAAAAAAGAGGTAAAATCAAGAGAAACATTTTTTTAAATATTTCGTTGATATTTTGTGGGTTGTAATTCTTTTTGCAATATTTAGCTTGAATTTAATTGTATTATCTTTCAATTTCTAAATATGTTTGATGACTAATATATATATGTGTGTGTGTGTGTGTGTGTGTGTGTGTGTGTGTGTGTGTGTGTGTGTGTGTGTGTGTGTGTGTGTGTGTGTGTGTGTGTGTGTGTGTGTGTGTGTGTGTGTGTGTGTGTGTGTGTGTGTGTGTGTGTGTGTGTGTTGTCACGCAAAGACAACTGCAGTGATATGATCAATGATCATAAGATCATTTATGAAATCTTTTGCATGAATAATAGTTTAATTGGAATAAATTTCTATTGACAATTCTACAGAATACAAAAAAGTATGTTTTATAGAATTATCTGTTGTCTTGGACTTGACACATGGCAGAGAATTAGGTTTATTAAGTCTTACCTCCCTGACTCGTCATCCCTCCTTTTTGCTTCACACACAAAAAAAAAAAATCAGTAGCCATGCTTAGTCACAATAAGAGCATCATCATAGTATTTAAACTTTAATTTTGTCGACTTGCAAAACTTACTGTGTGCCGACATCTCCGCATATAAAGCTGTTACGCCGGTTTCACAACACATGAGACATTAACTAGGTTTCCATCCACCTATTTTTATGTTGATTTTGGATATTCATCAAGATGCTCATACATTTTGAAAATGTTGGGGGAAATGTATTAAATAAAATATGACTAACAGGAAAAATCAATAGAAACATAAAAAAGAGACATTTGGTTGATGTTTAGTGACCATTACTATTGTAATGGAAGGAACTGTTTAATGTGTATAAATGTACCAACAATTTTTGACTATATTCACTGAAAATATTAAGAGATATCATTTTCAAAAGTGGGTGTACTCATTTATGCTGAGCACTGCAAATAATATACATCATTTTCATCCTCCAAACAGCCGGTCCTCTAAATTTTGCCGTTTTGTTTCTTGGCAGTCGATTGTGGCGTACTTCAACAGGCATGCTGGGAAATCAAGAGAGGAAGCCAAGCTGATGTTTCTGAAGATCATTTTCAAATGGCCCACGTTTGGTTCAGCCTTTTTTGAAGTTAAAGTAAGTTTAAACTTGCTGTTATACTGCTCAATGTGTGTTTCTTATACGCTCCAGGTTTTAATATTTGTTTTCTGTACTCTCATCGCAGCAAACCACTGAGCCGCACTTCCCTGAGATCCTGCTGATCGCCATCAACAAATATGGAGTCAGTCTGATCGACCCCAAAAACAAGGTGTGCTACAAGTCCAGTTTCTATGTGTTTAAGCATGCTCTGATGTATATTCCAGTGTGATTTTAAAATACAACACGTGTAGGTTTCTGCTAAATTCATTCTTCCATGGCGGGGCGCCAAGCCAAAACTCATCCCGCCACGGCTACATTGCAGTTTCTCATTCAAAACATTTTATTTTTTTAATAGCGGATAATAATCGCACTGAAATGTATTAAAAGGTAAGTGAATTATAATAGCGCAAACTTTTCTGTAACCGTACAAGTGCTGTGCGTCATTTGTTTACCCTTTAAGGTGACGTGCTGACTGACTGACAGGCGTGTGATGCGTGAGGCCAGCAAACACGACGTATAGCCGTTTCACTTTACTTCAGGACGCAATAATATCGCTCTGTAGGTCTATTAGAAACATTCATAAATATTCCTAGCAAAGCTAATAAATGCTGGAGACATTTCACACTTCAGCAGCATTTATTTGAGAGCGCACAAGAAGATCTGCGTGCTCTTGATGCGGCTTATATTTGAGGGGGCGTGCAAAAATTTTTGTGCACAAGCAGAGGAAATCGGCACGCAAGCAGAGATCCACATGCTGTAGGCTATTACATAAATGTGATCTCGACTTCTAATACTGCACTCACCACATTTGTCATTGAAATAATGCCGCAGGTATTTGGTAGAAAAAATGGAAAAAATCCTAGAGAAACAATGCGTGTGTATTTGTACTTTAGGAGTGCTGATTGACGCATTTTAACACTTTTATTTTTATTGCTCATTTCCCACAGGCAGATGTTCAGTTTTAAGGTCTGCAATTATAATACTTGCATTAATAGTTTGCATTCTGTTAAAACGTAATATTATTTAAATTAAAAACGTTAAATTATAGTACTATTTTAAAATCTGTATTGTTTTAGCATCAATGTACTATTTTATTGTTTACTATTTTTTTCGATCAATTTGTTGTGTAATATATTTCGATTTTTTTCACTATTTATAATATATTTTGATGGATATTATGATGTATGTTTATTAATTTATTTTTAAGTCATTTTATTTTTGTATGAAGTGATATTTGTGTTTTCTCTGCAGGACATTTTAACCACATATCCCTTCACCAAAATCTCCAACTGGAGCAGCGGCAACACGTACTTCCACATCACAATCGGCAACCTGGTTCAGGGTAGCAAACTCCTGTGTGAGACCTCACTGGTGAGAGCAACACACTCTACAACTGCATAGCAATCACATTTCTAGTGGCGTTGTGCAAAAAGCACATTTATATATATAAAAGCATACATCTCACAATAATGCTTTACTCATTTAATCATTTTCCATGTATGGTGATTTTTGATAGCTATTACTGAGCAACAGATCATTCATTTATTCATTTTTCTTCAGCTTAGTTATTTATTAGGGGTCACCAAAGCGGAATGAACCGCCTTGAGCAACAGTTATTTAATAATTTGCATCAAGGGTACTTCTCAGAGTCATAAAGCATTACTTTGCTGCAGCAATCCACATGTGAAAGTTATTTTTAGATTTGTTTTAGAGGCTAAAATTCAAATCAAATGTTACCAAATATCTTGTGCTACTTCAGAATTGTATGTGTACTTCATAAATTTCACACTGGATGAGAGATCATCATCTTCAGCTTAACCTCTCGAAAACGGAAATGCTTGTAGTTTCTGCCAACCTGACTCTACACCATAACTTTTCAATCCAGATGGACGGGGCAACCATTACTGCATCCAAACGGTAAAAAAGCCTTGGAGTAACGATTGATGACCAGCTAAACTTCTCTGACCACATTTCTAGAACTGCTCGATCTTGCAGATTCGCACTCTACAACATCAGAAAGCTCCGACCCTTCCTATCTGAACATGCTGCTCAACAAATTGTTCAAGCTCTTGTTCTCTCCAGACTGGACTACTGCAGCTCTCTACTAGCCGGGCTTCCAGCTAACTCTATCAAACCTCTTCAGATGCTTCAGAACGCAGCAGCACGAGTGGTCTTTAATGAACCTAAAAGAGCACATGTCACTCCGCTGCTCATCCGTTTGCACTGGCTGCCAGTTGCTGCTTGCATTAAATTCAAAGCTCTGATGTTTGCCTACAAAGCGACCTCTGGCTTTGCTCCTTCTTATCTGCTCTCACTTCTGCAGATGTATGTGCCCTCCAGAAACTTGCGTTCTGTGAATGAACGTCGCCTCGTGGTTCCATCCCAAAGAGGGAAGAAATCACTTTCGCGAACGCTCACGCTCAATCTGCCCAGTTAGTGGAGTGAACTCCCTAACTGCATCAGAACAGCAGAGTCACTCGCTGTCTTCAAGAAACAACTAAAAACTCAACTATTTAGTCTCCACTTCACTTCCTAATCTGCAATTGCCTCTCTGGCTCCACCGCTAACTGTATTACCAAAAAAATAAATAAATAAAAAGTACTAATGTTTTGCTTCTCACACTTTACACGCCTGAAACTTGCCTACAGCACCTATTCATTGTTTCTTTTATCGTTGTGTAAGTTGCTTCCTTGTCTTCATTTGAAAGTCGCTTTGGATAAAAGCGTCTGCTAAATGACTAAATGTAAATAAATATTGTCTAAAGTAGGGCTGGGCGATGATAAAACGAAATATATCACGGTATCATGTTTTTATATATTTCAATTTTAACAATTCTTGAATATTTTTTAACAATTGAGTTGAAAGGACACATTTCCACACTCGCTTTCTGTTTGTCCTCCAACAGGGCTATAAAATGGACGACCTGTTGACCTCCTACATTAGCCAGATGCTTACCACCATGAGCAAACAGCGAAACTCGCGCGGCGGCAGCAGCAAGTGAACGTTTGATTGGCTGGAGGCGGTGGAGCTAGTGCGTCTGCTGCGTCCCATTGGCCAGCCCTGCAGCTGGGGGCGGGCCTTCGCGGCGCAACTGTGGCGGATGAGCAGAACTCCCTCTGCCAGCACACAGAGCTCAATGTACCCGGATGAAGACTCTTCCTCTGAGGACGACTACCTCTGAACACACACACAAACACACGGATTCATCCGTTCTCCAGAATATTCTTCAGATGCGCAATTTAGGTACCGTTTATTACGTTTTGTGAGTCGAATATAAACTGCAATGGCTTCTATGCATCCCAAACTGCTTTAAAGAGGCAGTGTTTGGGTTATTTATGTGTAAATGCACTAAGAAAACAACATGTGCACGACTTCCTGAAGAGTAATTGATTGATTATTTTTAATGGCGGCAGAAATATCTTTTATAATGGTTTAAATGTTAGTTTGTGTTCTGTTTTAGGAGGTTGTGATTTAAATGTTGTGTTTTTAAAAAGATTATTTGTTGCACTGCAGGCCTTAATAGGTTTTTGTTTGGGGGGGGATATGAGTAACTGCTTTTTTTTAACAGTACATGATCAGCATTCGTCCTCTAGTCTGTTGCTAAAATCTAATTTCCAGCTTAATTGAAGATTAAACTTAATATAGATCAAGTGTACTTTGGGAGGGAAAATGAGAATGACGAAAATGAATGGCCTTATTTAAAAATGAATATGAAAATGCGTCTATATTAATGCTTCAGGCTGATTTATACTTCTGCGTCCAGTGATCGATGTGACTCACGGTGTCTGCATTGTGCATAGTCGTGCATTTATACTTCTGCGTGCTGTTTGTGTTGCTCTGCAATAACACTTCTGAAACACTAGCTGGCAGTAGGTGTTGATGTTCCTCTGTGTCGTGTTTCTTCGCTGGTGTTTTGTTTTTGCTGAGCGCTACCGTAATCTACAAGTAGCTAAAAACAAGCAGAGGCGGGAACCGGCGGACACGCAACCACCGAAAGTGGCGAGAGCGTCAAAGTAGCTGGAAGTAATTCATTTTCAATGAGAGCCGGCGCCGATAAGCGGCGAGTAGCAGCGCGGCGCGTCTTCGCTGGTGTGGGCGCCTAGGAGAGTTGAAATCAAGTCAACTTTATGGTAATGAGCTATGACATGGTACAGTGGCAACCAATCAGAATGAAATAGTCCCCCCCCCCACACACACACAGTTGTCATTAAGGGTAATATTAGATATATGATCCAAAATCGTTCTTCGTACCAGGCTGTCAACATGTCTTTTTTTCTGCTGTAAAGCTGGGCATTTTAACAGTGGGCTCAATAGAAATGTGCCCTAAATGAAGACAGCATTAGCGGAATTTCGATGAATTGCAGTTTCAGTTACTTTCGTATTGGCTTCATAAGAGAGAGCAGGAGATTGCCGCTTGGCGCTTGGTAAACACCCTCCATCGGGTTCACGTGGCTCTCCCAACACACACACACACTCTTCAGCGCTACCAAGACGACCAATTACAGAGCTTGCACTACGCATCATTGCGACATGTAGTTACATTTTTAAGAGGTGCGACTGCGCAAAGGCTGCGCCGTTACCTTGCACGTGTGCTTGGCACAGAGTATAAATCAGCCTTAAAAGGTAAAGCCTGTCATTTTTCACACTAGAGAAAGCAATTAAAGCATATTTATGAATGAATACAGGACAACAAAAGCTTATTATAGGACGTCAGGTTTAAGATTGTGTTGTTAGTGCGTCATGGTTAAACAGGAGAATGAGTTTAAGCGTTTTCTTTTCAACACCAATTTACAAAAGGGATTTTATATACAGTGGAAAAGCATGCTAGATGCTGTCAGTTGTTTTTTTGTTCTGACATGTCAGAATGTTTTCCTTTAAGACTTATTTTGACCTGTACTATTATTCAATAATTGATCCTAAATTTATTATTATTATTATTATTATTATTATTATTATTATTATAATTATTATTATGAACTGACAAATGGGTCAAACTTAATTATTTGAAGAATAAAATCAATGTATGACGATTTTAAATGACAGTATTTTGAAGCTAAAATTGGGTCTTTAATGCATCATTATTATTGCTCTAAATATTCCTAAGAAGATTTTGGTTTTGACAAACTATTATTACCCTCAGTACATTGGTTTTTTGTCGTTTTACTGGAAGCCTTTATGTGTTTCCTTGAATTGATCCCAGTAGCTGGTTAATTTTTTAAGGCTAGAATAGACCCTAAACATCCGCAAGTGATCAGTTTTTGAAAAACATGTTTAGATTTGATCTGTTCTCATTAATTAGTTAATTCACGGCCTTTATTTGCACCATTTATGTCCTTTTGTCTGACTAACTGATCAGAATGTAACCTGAACACTGAATCGGTTTCTTGTGTTTGTGTGCTAATTAACGTATGAATTAATAAAGGGACAGTTCACCTAAAAATCAACATCATCACTCTTGTTTGAGTTCCTTCCGTTGAACACAAAAGAAGATATGAAGAAAGCTGAAAACCTGTAACCATTGGCTTCTACAGCAGGAAAAACAATGTAAGTCAATAGGTTTTCAGCATTTCTCAAAATATCTTCTTAAGTGTTCAACAGAAGAAACTCAAAGGTTTATTGCCACTTGAGGCAGAGTAAATATTTAGTACATTTTATTTTTGGGTGAACTACCCCTTTAACTACTACCGCCACTCTTATGTGAAGGCACCATGTTAACAAACATTTTATAATAAGCATTACTGTAAAAAATAAGTGCAGCATTTCTTATGTGGATCTTAAATTAAACATGAACTTCACACTTTCATTTTTGTGTTGTTTTTAAGTATTTATTTATAGTATAATCTATAGTGCTTTTAAACTAGTTTTTTATACTGTATTTGTATTTTTGCATTGCATTTTGCATTGACTATACTCACTAATGAACTGTAATAAATACTGTAATATATGTTTTTACTACAGTAAACTGATATATTAACCTATAGTTATAGAAAACTACAGTAAAAAACACTCTTCTTTACTATCCTTTACTATAGTACCTGAAAATCGTTTGCCTCTCCAACAAATATAAGGAAGAGCAAATAATTAGATGTCTAGTTCAGGGGTGTCCAAGCTCGGTCCTGGAGGGCCGGTGTCCTGCAAAGTTTTGTTCCAACCCCAATCAGACACACCTGAGCTAGCTAATCAAGCTCTTACTTATCCCTGCAGGTGTGTTGAGGCAAGTTGGAGCTAAAATCTGCAGGACACCGGCCCTCCAGGACCGAGTTTGGACACCCCTGGTCTAGCTGATCATTTGGTATCAGAAGTGGCTTATATGGAAGGCAAAGGCCTCTAGATTACACTTATTTTACCACAATAAAATATGATCATGCCTTAATTTTTAATTACTTTGTTAGGACAGTAAGCTCTGAATTTTCTTAGACTCAAACTTACAAATAAACTGATTAATAAAGTCATCTGGAATGGCAAAGAAAGTGTTCCTGCAGGACTCCCAGAGTTCATCAAGATCCTTTGGATTCATCTTCAATGTCTCTACCTTCATCCTACCCGACATGCTCAATAATGTTCATCTCTGGTGACTGGGCTGGCCAATCCTTGAGCACCTTGACCTTCTTTGCTTTCAGGAGCTTTGATGTGGAGGCTGAAGTATGAGAAGGAGCGCTATCCTGCTGGAGAATTGTCCCTCTCCTGTGGTTTGTAATGTAATGGGCAGCACAAATGTCTTGATACCTCAGGCTGTTGATGTTGCAGATCTCTCGCAACACCCCCATACTGAATGTAACCCCAAACCATGATTTTTCCTTCACCAAAATTGATTTCTGAGAAAATCTTGGCTCCATGCTGGTTCCAGTAGGTCTTAGTATTTGTGATGATTGGGATAACTCAACAGATAATTCATGGGAAAAAATCAGCCGCTTCTCCAAATGAACAGCTAGAAGTCAAGTTATTATTTGTTCCTCTTATAACTGAAATAGAGGACAAGACTTTTGTCGGGTAGTGAACAAATCAAGCATACAGATTGAGCACACAGAGTCTGCTAAAATGCTATTGATGGAATAAAAATCAATAAAGACAACCAAGACTTTATCAGAATATCATTTAAGATCCGTTTACAATCATTTTTACAGACATAAGTTACATTAAGACAGATTAAATAGAAATGACGCTAGGCATTGCATTTTTATACAGGCGGGAATGTTTCATCATCATCATCATCACCTCATGGAAACACTTGTCTTTACATGCAAACCAGCTCATCTCAAATGAAAATGATCATCTACTCACACTGGTGGTGTTCTTGTGAGGTTTGTTCTCTGTGTATTTCGGACCACAAGTGTAAATAAATAAATATCTCTGGTGCGTCCATATAGCAAGAATAACGATCATCATTATTGAATCGCAGACTTCGTGAACACAAAAATGTCACAGAATAATCTCAAGCAACACATGCTAACGTTACATATGTCAGTTTTCTGTGTATGAAATGGAGGAAATAGCCAGAAATCTAAAGGACTATTTAACAAAAAACTCTGATGTTGGTCATGTTAAACTATGCACGTTCACGAGATCCTGTTAGCGCGAAATATCAGCCTGAAGTATTTTACGTTTTGTCAGTTTATTGGTACGTGGAGTTCAGTCGTGCGAAAATTACGATTTCATACGATTTTTAAAAGGAGGCATGGCACCTAAATCGTTATTGAGTGATGATAAGCAAATTGTACGAATTCATTTATACGAATTAACCACTAAATCAAAAAGTTACGAATTGCTGTGAGAATGTGTTGGAAATACGCAAAATAAATAAATAAATGGAAATGTAGTGAGATATCAAGGTAAATACAAAGCGGCAAGTTACAGATTTTTTTCTTTGATAAATACAGTAGCCTGTAGGCTTATCTGTCGTGTTTGTCGCTACATTAATCGACGTATCGGTGACGTATGGGATACTGTTTTCTGGCCCAAAGGAATTTTAACAATTATTACAAAATTATTCACTTTCTGGCCGTCGGATGTTAGGCATGGACATTTATATTGCGATCGTGATTTTCGAAAGTATTACATCGTTTTGCAAGTTTTATTATTAGCATTTGATGAGTCTCCTTATACTGTTTGATAAAGCGATTAAACCCAGAAGCTGCTTCGCGTGACGTCACACTTACCAAGCGGATAGAATCTCATCGTCAAGGTCAAAGTCAAGATTTTTATTATTGCTAAATTCAGAAGAAATTTTGGTGGTTTTTAATTTTTGTCAAACACTATCGTACACTAGTAACGCTTAAACACATGATTATAAGTCTGTGTGAAATGTACAATATTTATTTTGCAAGTGCACAATGTTAACCTATTGAGGTAAAGTTTTATATTTGCACATTAGTTCATTTTAACGCTAACTTGAATGTTCGCTCTGAAATCAGATGTAAGTATGACTAACCAACAACATTAACACTATTTAATTGACCAACAGTGCTGTACTTTAATAGTCATTGGCTGCTAACATGATTTCCTTGTTTGTAATTTGCAAACAATACGTTTCTGAAATTATAAGTCTGTGCGAATATAAAAACCAACTTTACCTCAATGCTAATCTTTAGGCGAATAATTATCCGTGCAAGTTAATCCACTGAAATAGTTTGTTTTGGTCATTTTTAGTCAAACTCTGAGCTTTGCTTTTGCATTTGGAGCAATGGTAAAGCATTTCTCTTTTGACGTCAGTTTGACGCTTCAGTCTCAATATTCGTAACCATGCCTCTCTCACCGTTATGCCCCTGTTATGAGTTTGAGCATGCGGAATTCTATTGTACGGCGCTTTCAAAAGGGGCGGGATTAAACAATGTTAGACATTTTAGAAAGCAAGGGATTCGTCAATATTTTAAATTTCTGAGGTCATGTTTTGGTCTTCGATTGATCTCACCTAGTCACATGATGCGATTTCACAGGTCATAGTTCACCAAACTTGAACTTTGCAATGCAGCGAACTGCGAAACTTGTAGCACGAGCTTGCATTTCCGGTCTGATGCATTTGCGTGCATATAAATGGAAGTCTATGGAAAGAAAATTCTAGTGTGACCGCAGCTTCAGTTTGCTTGTCAG